ATTGCATTCTGTGCCCAGTATGCACAACAGCAGAAAGTAACATGTCTGCAGGAATCTCCCGTACAGTCCTGATATGTTATCCTTCAACGTAGCCAGGTCCTGGACCACTCCTTGATAGACCTAGGACTTAAGGTAACCCCATAGCCAGAAGTCGCATGGGGTAAGATCAGGCAACCGAGGTGGCCATGCAGTTGGAAAGTAGCGGCTAATGACTCTTTCTGTTGTGAATTTCTTTTGTAGCATCTGTTGCACCCGTACAGCAACGTGTGGAGGGGCTCCATCTTGCATGAAAATGATTTCCTCCGGGCATTGTCCTTGCTGAAGTGCCGGAATGACAAAGCTGTTCAAAATGTGGCAATATTTCTCTCCGGTAACAGAACAGGTTTCCGATCCTGTCGGGGTAATGTTCTCATAGAAGAATGGACCTACGATAAATTCCGCTGTGAACTCACACCAAACAGTTACCTTTGGTGAATGTAAGGGAATTGCTATGACTGCATGTGGTGATTTGTCATCCCAAATTTAGCAGTTCTGTGTATAAACAGTTCCATTCAGGTAAAAGTGGGCCTCATCTTCCCATAAGATTTTCCACAGTCACGCAACATCCACCTCCATTCTGGTAAGAAATGTGAGAGAAAAAGTCAATCGCTTATCATGGTCGGCGTACAGAAACTCCTGTACACAGCTGATCTTGTACGGATAGAAGTTGATAATCTTTCGTAAGATTTTTCATACCGTACTGTAAGGCATATCCATATTCCGAGCTACTCCACGAGCGCTAGAGGTGGCAGCAATATTGTCTGGTCCTCTGTCGACAATCGCCGTGGCAACTGCTTCGATTGTATCCTGTGGTACAAGTTTTCGTCCGTCTGCCTGACTGAACCTTCAGAGAACCTGTTTTCTCAAACGTCGCAACCATTGCTTTCAGCCTCATTAACTGACACAGGACCGTTACCTTTACGCATTTTTTTTTTTTTTTTTTGTGCTTTCTAAAAGCACGAAGAGCGGCTGATGCGTTGCACTGGTTGAGGTAAAAGAATTTGACCAGCAACACACGCTCAACTAAAGAAGGAGACATTGCACATAAACGTTCAATCCGATTGATTCGAAACATAACACATTGCCTTTTAAAACCCAAGCAGCTGGCAATGTGTAAATGGATGTAATGTGAAATTTGAATAAAGAACTTCTTCTTCTGCTAAGCGTATGTGATATTGCAGATCACAAGACTTTATCGGTGTTTATGTAGATTTTACGCTTTTTTAAAAGTGTTGCCATATTGCACTTGAACTAAGTAAAAAAAATGTGCATAATAAAAGGTAATTTTATTCTGTATTAATTTGCATTTGTTAACACTCTATTTTCTATTACACAGCGCAAAATATTCCCCTAGTGGTGACTTTTGGAACTAATTTGTTTTTTTGCGGAATCCTTCGTCCCCCGTCTTGTTTAATCTTCCTACAAAATGTGGCATCATTCTCGCAAATAGATCGCACTACAGAACACTGTGAGCACTGTCAGTTTAATTATGGCCACCCGGTATATGTGTGTGTGTGTATATATATATATATATATATACACACACACATATATATATATATAAAGCTGTTCTGCAGAGTAAAATTCTGTGCAGTTTTTAAATTTGATGTTTGATGTTTCCTTTATTTACTTTTCTGGCACATTTTAAAGCCAGACGAAGGCTGGCTGCGTAGTAGCTACTAATTACATAAACCAAACCAAACCATATGATTCTCACTTTTACAGAGGAACGTAAAAACATGAAAAAAAAGTAAGCAAAATATGATTCATTATGAAAACCAGTTTTTGCAGGATGTTTTGATTGTCTGCAACAAACGGAGTAATAAAAAAAGACAGTTCAATCTAAACTGTCAAGTACACTCATTTTTCAAGCCTTTCATTTCAGGCAGAGCAGATTTGATTTTAACACATTTTAAAAAGATTTGATTTTAACACTAGAACAGGTGGGCACAGAAACTATAAACATGACAGATGCAAACATGATCCCCTGTCTCCTATATTCATTACTCTAATCTCCCGCATCTTTCATTAAATAATCTTCATCAAGACAAGATATCATTGTAGCGTAAGCACTACTATAATATATAATCTGTCATGGTTTTTGACTATTTTTCTTCTTATTAAGTATATAATACTGCAAACCTTAAACAGTGCAATAAAACCCATATAAAGTGTCTGTAAATGTGTTGGAATTACTTCCAAGAAACAGATAAAGCTCACAATATTTCAAGGAAACACAGATTGCTTAGTATGTACTACAGATTATTTTAATATTGTTGCATGCCTACGGGTTCGTAACAGCACAATTCCGATAAAAGAAGTTAATAAAATTTATTCTTATCACAAGAAATATAACAAAATGCTGGGTTTTTCCTCAAAGATATTCGTACAAAATCCCACAATATAATCAACAGTTCTATTTTAAACTACTAAAACGTTAAATAGAACGCAATCCAAAGTCCAGAGAAGGCTAATCTGATTAAAATTACAGCAGCTAAGTAAACAAGAAGAGCTCACTACTAGCTAGAACAAGAGCTCACTGCTATCACATGTTGGTTTATTTTGGAAGAACAACTGTTTGGAACAATCTTTCTGCTTTGTCACAACAGCCAATCACCATAGATCGCTTTGGGGTTAACACAGGGAAAACTGGTTCCCTATTACAAACAAGCTGATAGAATTCGAAGCTGATACCTGATTGGCTGAAAACGAAACACTTGCAATTTTTTTGGAAAGGAAAAGAAAAGTCGCACGTCTTTCTTTCAATAGTAAACCAGGCAGAAAAATTATCCGAAACAGTTGTTCGTGTGAAACAAACACCATGTGATATGAGCCTTAAGCAACTGAACCGAGAATTTCTCTCCAGCTTTTATAGCTTTTAAAATCGGCCAAGCGAGACAATGCTAGCAATTTCTGGAAAGCGAAAAGCGTAGAATTTTGGTCACAGCTAACACAGCAGTTGATTACATTTATCCGATTTAAATGTAAATTACGAGATTATTTATTAAATGGTCATGCTCCTGTATTTTTACTGTTTTGGTGTAGCTTTCTCTTAAAATAAGTCTTGTGCTGCATTGCACAGGGATATAAAAAAAAATTAATTATAATTCTACTAAAAATAGAAAACTAAATACAAAGTCCGTAACAATATGTTTCCAGGGCACTGTTATAAATATGATCATAATACTATATGCCATACAAATTTTAGGATAGTTATGATGATTTTTATAGTACAGACTTGACTATCATAAAGCAATTATGTCACTTGTGCTTACTTTGCTATTATAAATTGTCATTTTAACACTGCTTTTTTTGTCAAAGTCTGAATCTTTTATATGTGAAGCTTTTTTATTTCTTAATTTTTTACATCAGTTAGATACATGTCTACATTTACAGTATGTTTAATAAAAATGTATAAAACTGACATAGGTGCTAACAGGCATATACGTCATTCTGTAAACAAATGAGGTAAAGTTGTCACATCAAGAAGTACATTATAGTACTATTTACAAATATTTTTACTTCCTTGTATGAAGTAAAGGAAGTATTGTAATCAGGAAAAATTTCTAGTATCATATTTCTACAAAAATATTCATTTCAACCACTCTCGAAATCATTTGAATTATGTTTTTGCATGACGTCTGTACATACACAGACAGAATACTGGACTGTTTTTCCCAAAAAGGATTGCAAAATGGATTCAGAAGAGATTTTTTTTTTTTTTTTTTTTTCTTGACGTCTGTACATACTTATGCATGTATATTGCATAGCTCAAGAACAATTTGCCATAGAATGCTGAAATTTTTTATATGAGACTGCTATAATATGTAGTTGCCTGCCTCCCTTTTTTGTTGCAATCAACTGCACTAATCGTACGATTCCTGGCTCAGCTTAGTTTTTTTATTCTTATATGTTGGTAAATTGTGAATTTTTTTGCTTTAAAAGTGGTTGAATTATATGGTTTTTATGTTTCAGTTAAGGTTTTTATGCCTTTAGTTAATCTGCATGCAATAGTTGCAGTAATTATCAACAATTTAAAAATTTAACTGGTGAGTTAAGCCTAACGAACCACTATTTATTTACATTTAAAAGTCAGTAGGATAGTGAATTAAATCAGTTTCTGCATTTTCAGTGTCATTTTGCTGAGTGGGAACAAAAGTAAACTTTCAGTTTTGTGCGCCGAAAAATCTACCTTCTTGTTCTCAAGCCGAACTGCTTGTTTTTACATAGAATCTCTTACTTTTAATTGTAAAAATTGTTTGTTTACTGTTTAAACTGTATTTGGTGCTTTATGTTTTCCTGTATTTTACAGTTTCTAATGAAGATGTTTTCAGTATTTATGAACTTTTGTTTTGTCGGGAAGTAAGAACTAAATTAATTGAATGAGAAATATACCTCAAATGAAATTCAAGAAAATAAGTTTAAGTGAAATGCAACACAAAATGTGTATAATTTAATAGGCTATACAAAGAAGTCATGTGGAGTCCACATCAGATTTTTTCACTAACATATTCACATCTTTTTATTATATGGTACAGCACATAATGTGCAAGCATTTAAAATCAGTTTAATCTATAGCAAACTATGGATATTCATAATTCATATGAATCTTATCTCTAATAAATTTTATCAATCCCTATTCAAACATCATATTCACTGAAATATATATATAAGTTTGCAAATCCTTATCAAATGTACATTATTCATGAAAATGGTCTAACAATTTATTACAGCATTTACTTGATTAGTGCATATAAATGTGGTATAAATTTTAAAATTCGTGTATTTCAGAATACTTTAAATCATTCTCTGAAAAAATTTTCAATTAGTTTTAAAAAAATAGGAAATTATTTAAAGACTACTATGCATAACATATTTCTTTATTATTAGTAGTATTATGAGATTATTCCCAGATTACAAAACTACAAAACAAAATTGCAGTAATAACAATTTAAACATACCTTTCTTTCTTTTAATTTAGCAGCTGCTCTGGCAAATTCTGGTTTCAAAGCTTTGCAATGTCCACACCCTACAAAATATAATGTTTGATGTGACTATTCTAGCTTGACATATACACACATAGCATATACTTACACAACATTACATTTGTACAAAATAGTTTCCAAAGGTCTATTTTTTAATATTTATAAGAGTATTTTAGAAAAGCAATTCTTAGTAAAATGAGATTTGCACTACATTGCCTCCAACCTGTATAACAACATAAGGTGACTACCTTATGTTGTTATACAGGTTTTCAAACGACTCCTCCACTATGTTTTAAGATAATAACATCCTCAGAATCTCTGAATAGATACCCTTTTTGCATACATTTTTCAAGAAGAGAAATAAGTGTAAGCCATATTACAAAATTCAAGAGAAGTTTCAGCATTGTTGCATCACTTTTAACTAAACATTGTCAAAATCAAAATGGAACAATATGCTGCTGCATTAGTCTGAAGAAGATTCACTTTTTCTTCATTTTTATTCCAATTTTTTATCGCCTTAAAACACAAATGTGTGTTAACAAATGCTGTTTCATTAATTATGTGGCTTCTAGAACCAATTTCATTGTAAAGCATATAATAATAATAATAATAATCCCAACTTTGTCTTTTCTTTCATTCTTATCCTTTCCTAAAGAGGATGATGTTGATTTCCATTCGAATGACTGATGCTTATTCTCTGAATCCTATAAAAGTAATATGTATTGCCTCCTGCAATTGTCTCTACAGAAAAATTTACTTTAAAACACAGTTCTTATAACCATGTGTTAATACATATAATGTGAATGTAGATCATTGATAAAAATGTCCAAGTACTAATCTTTTAGTGCTATTTTCCTTAATACACTGGTTATAATTAATTAAGGAAAAATCATAAAAGTTACAATTACTCTAAAAGTTATGTGTAGAACTTAACTGACTCTCAATATACAACAAGCAAGGTATAAAATAACATGAAAAGAAATTACCAGCAATTATGGTGTTATAGAAATTAGCATACATAATGAACAAGTCAGATGTACGAGTTTGGTATAGGAAAACTACCAGCAATATGGAGAATAATCTCCCCTAGAAGCAATACAACACATATACAAATGAACGATACTGTCAATTATGCAGTCTGTCAGTTCTGTATGAAGTGAGAGCCACTACTCTTGGAAAGCAGTTGCAAGCATGGCAAGGGTCTGAAGAGCAGGACTGAGTACAGCTACACATCTTCTTAAAGCATCCCAAACATGTTCAATAAGATTCAGCTCTGGTGATCAAGCTGACCACTCCATGGGCTAAATAATTTGTTGCTAATAATCATCCATTGTCGTCCTATAGCACGAAATTATCACCTATTGCCTCAGCATAAAGGCACACATAAGCATCAAGGATGTCCTCTCTGTAGGCCTGAGCATTCATGGTTCCATGTGGAAAGACATGGAGGTCTGTGTATCCATCCAAAAAGATATCACCCTAAACAAAAACACTGCTTTCTCCATATGAATCTGATGGATGATAGCAAGTTCCAGGTCCTCTTCAAATCACATAATGCTTACTATCACTTTGGAGGCTAAACCTGGACTCATCCATAAAGAGAACAGCCCTCCATTGATCAGCTGTCTAGTGCACATGTTGATGTGCCCACCTCAAACGTTCCCTTCTATGATGTGCCACGAGCGAGCAACATGCATATGCCTGGTCACCTCACGTACAGACCTCCTTCGTGAAGCCATATCTACGCATGGTTGACATTGACATGAACTTTCCAGTGGCTGCTGCAGCAAGGGTTCAGAGTTGAGGTTTAGTTTGTGCACATGACAACAAATATTGGTCATCAGTACTCGTCGTAGTGGTTGGCCGTTCTTGGCTGAACCTCCTGGATGCCGAATCTGTAATTAGAAATTGCTGCCAAAGTCTGTGAACCACAAAGAGACTCACATTTAGCCATCTGGCTACTTCTGTCTGTCTCTATCCTGCCTCTAGTCTGCCAATAGATCTCCATCGCAGATTTTTGGGGCAAAGGATGTCTAGAGGTCATTGTTACAAATAGGCTATTCCATATTTCTTACCTGGGTATCACAGCGATATTTGTGGGCTTGCTCTGAAACATGCTATTTTATGCTCCTCGCAAATGACATATTTTGATTGCAGATTCCCTAATTTGCATACTGCAGTTTTATTCAGCAATTCTTACCTCACAACATATTCAAATTTTATACAGACAGGCTTATTTTTGAACAAGTTATAGCTATTTTTGTGATTTTGCCTTAATTTTTAGAAATCAATTTAACTTATTTATCCATAATTGTGAACACATATATAAGCTACCCTCTGATGTGTATCTGTGGCACAGGGCCACTCAAAATGCTCGTGACCCCCAAATCCCCTTAAATGGTTTAGTGGTACAGGAAGAGGGGTGGAAGAACTTTGGATTCATTCCCTAGGATGTCCTCTATCAAAATTGGAGAGAATTGCACAGTTAGCGCAGTGGGGCTATACAGCCACTGGTGAAATTCTTCTGTTTTGCTCACTTCTACACGTACCTGTTGGTATGGTGGTAGAGCAGCTGGCTACTGTAGCCTTAGACTGGGTTTGAATCCCAGAGATGGCATGAATGTTTCTGTCTTCGCAGCATAGGGATACTTAAAATACTGTCGAGAAGAAAGTTCTCTCAAGAGGCTGGGAAAAAGGGGTGAGAGACGCTTGGAGGAATTCTCCTTCACAATTGGAATGGAGTTGGTAAATTTATACTTCTACTTATAAGGTAGCCAAGAATTAAGCTAATGCAATGTGCAATCGTTGCCTCTTAAACCATGATAAAATTTGTGAACTTGATCTTATAATAATGTCAGATAAGTGAAATAAGTCACAAAAATGTGAAAATTCATAAAGCTTACATTAGTTATCAAAGATGATAGGTATCCATAAATGGATCATCAGCAATACAATGCCTTAGACACATACAATCTTGATTGTGCTATCACTATATGCATTTGGAGTACTACTAAAATACCTGAAGAAATAATTACACCCGCTTGTCTTAATCAGAGTAAAATATTCAAGGGTAACTAGCCTAAAAAAGGTAGGTCATCATAGAAAACATTTTGAAAGAACCTGTTCAGATTTGAAGCACATATGGAAAAAACTTCAAATGTATTTAACACTGTCTGTTGTGAATCAAACCTTAGGTAAAATTACCAGCATTTCACAACTTGAACCACATGGTCATTGGTGAACCTCAACAAATGGCACTGAAATGTAACTAATTTTCATTAATTATACAAATCAAAATAAGTGAATAATAATATTTCTTGCTGAATTCAAATCTGTAATTAGAATTTTCCAATTAAGCAAAGACACTTTCTGGAGCTTGATTAAATTTATATGCGCCACCCCTTCCCCCCAAAAAAGAGAGAGAGAAATTATTTAAAAATATGTAGATGTATGACTTTAAGCTGTATTTAACTTAAGGACTATCTGTCTGTACTGAGATTCTAATATTTTCTCAGTATGAGAAATTTCCTTACATTCACCCTGTTTAGTGCACATTGCTCCAACAATAATCAGAAATCGCTGTTAGTACAGAAAAAGACTAGCATGTTATCAGATGTATAATAATATTTCATTTTCTAGCAAATACCTTGTATTACATATAAATCATATCAAACATGTTTTGTTTACCAAAATAGATACCATCAAAAGATTAAAGGCCAAGTTCTTAAACTTATCATTATTTAACAAATTACTTATTGAAACTTTTTGTTTAGAGGGCTTTACATTTACAACTTACCTTCTCATTAATTATAAGAGGATGTGATGAATAATAAGTCAACAAACAATTGTAGTGTTGAATTTTATTTAATTACACTGCAGTATATGAATTTAAATGTCTTTGTGAATTTTTGTGTAACATTTAATTTGATGCGTATAACATATACATTATTTTTTATTAACTTTCCTTTAAATTAATTTTAAAAAATAACAAATATTGACAAAATTTTTATTTGAAATGAAATATTTCTACTTGAAACACAATATGAGTTCCTTTTTATTTAATATTACATAATATTAAAAAATCCCCTAAAACAGATAGAATTTATATATTTAACATGATATACTTAAGAATAGAGAGAAAAAAAAGAAAAAAATAATAATAAAATAATAGAAATATTTCTTATAATTAATTTGCTTTACAGTAAAATGGTGCAAATGCTCTACAATGTACAATTTCTTTTAGAAAAAAAAATTGCATTTTTTTGTAAAGAAACAAATAAGATTCATAAGGATTTTAAAGCACAACTGAATAACATTCATATCAATATAATATATCATAAATAAAATGTTGAATGCTACAGATTTACTCAATATGATAAAAATTAAAAATAAATAAGTTTATTTCATGTTCTTATAGCGGGAATAATACTTTAATATCATATGACTTAAAATGTACTTCCATAAACTACAATAAAATATCAAATATCATTTTAATATAAAAATATCATACTTCCTAAAGCATAAAAAAATAATGAATTAAAAACATAATTTCTTACAAGGAGCATAAAACATAACAAGAGCACACTGTTGAGATCTAATCTTTTCTTCAAACTGTTTTTCTTTTAACAAATGCACATGCTGTGCATTAGGTAAATCTGACCACCACTTTTCAGGTGGAGGTGTTGTAGTAGGAGGCGGCATTCCATCTGCAGCAGATTTCATGTACTTCACGAAATCATTTTCCTTAAAGAAAAAAAAAAATTGAGATATATATATATATATTGTTAAACCTTTTAAATAATGCTTGTATGCAATATGGATTGTATAAGCATTACTTATATTACAGTTTCCTCACTTTAAGCTATTATCTCATGCTCTTTCATTTTTCTCTCTCATTATTATTTCCCATCAACAGTTTTGTTTTTGGCAACTGGTTAGAGAAAGTAATCTGTTCCATCATTCAAAACTAAAAAACTAAATTAACTTTTCTTAGGCTCTGTCTAAGTAAGTTAACTTATATTACAGTTTCCTCACTTTAAGCTATTATCTCATGCTCTTTTATTTTTCTCTCTCATTATTATTTCCCATCAACAGTTTTGTTTTTGGCAACTGGTTACAGAAAGTAATCTGTTCCATCATTCAAAACTAAATTAACTTTTCTTAGGCTCTGTCTAAGTAAGTTAACAATGCTTTTCTTAGACAGAGCCTGGTCAATCCACACAGCCCCAGTTAACTATACAACGTATAAACATACGTGTTTTGTACAACATTTAATAAAAAAGCATTTCATTAATTTTGTTATCCTAGAGTTGTGCTTAGTTTTAACATTCAGTTCTTATTTTAATATCTGCACTGTCAGTGTCAGCTCCGAGCTTACAGTTTAAAACCAAATCAGAATATACAGTGTCAGTAAAAGATCTTTTCCTTATTCCAAAAACTGATTGCATGAAAACTATTATAATTAGACAAATATGGTTTCTTGGAAATGGTAACTTTAATAATTCAGTTTTCTTAGAACAGTACTAAGTCAGGAAACTTTAACTTGGGTCCTTTCGTACTTTGGAGGCTGCCAAGTCAGTACCAGTTCTCACTATGAGTTATTCAGCATTTGCGCCGTAACACTTCATATAGCATATGTTACTTTGGCTTATAAAGTATCATTATTATGAGTTAGTATGACGAAGACTCTGTTCTTGATATGTCCTCTGTCTGATTTATGACAAATCTCATCACTCACTGTAGGCCTAAAACTTCTTGAAATATCACCAATATTACAATTTTCTTTAAAATTTTTCATATATTCCTTGCACTCTTAACATTTGGAGGATGTGTATGAAATTTTAAGACACCACTGACGAATACATAGTTTCATAACACCACAAAATATGTTTAGCTTTCTTCTTTCATTGGTGTCATCGCGTTATTAATACTCTTTAGTTTTACCAACTGCATGGAATATATATATTAAAAAAACATAAATATAGAACTACACATAATGAAAATTTAACATGTCTATGTTCTGCAATTATTTTATGTAATTTTTTTGTAATCAAGGAAAGACTTTTATGCTCCCTCTATGTATTAATAAATACATAATTATAAGATCTCAGCTTAGAGTTTAAATGTTAAATCACCTCTGAAACTTAAATTCTCTCCTTAATTAAAATTCTCTAATGACCTAGTACCACTACTATAGATGACAAAGTTCTAAACACATATATTTCTTTACTTTAAATGCTATTTTAGTTCAGAAATTCAGCTCACAATTCTAAAATTACAAACAAGCTTATCATTAAAGAATTTATATTGGTTTCGAATAATTTATCAACTTTCTTATACTTGAACGCATAATTATACTTCCAGCATATTACAGCACCACTGTTTAAACTGTGCCCACATTATCACCAAGTTTTAATTAAGTTTTTTAAGACAAGTTTACGATCTTAATAATAAATGCGTTATTTCTTGCATACAGTTTGTGGATGCCATATTTCAGCAACTGTTTTTAATATAGCCTCAAAAACATTTTCATAGGATTTATGTTTCTATTTTGATTGCAATTTTTCCCATAGCACCTCCAATGCTTTTGTAGGTGTATAATTTCATTTCATGGAGGTTTTCATACATTCAAATGTGAGGTAAAATGCCTATTTCATCACAGAATGATATAGCATGTTCTTCATTTCTTGGTATCTCAAAAACTGTTAAATTTTTTTGGAAAATAAAATATAAAACAGAAATCCAATGAAAGCCTATGACCTATTCAAAGCTCTTCTCATAATGGGCTGATGGTATGTGACCATGATTAGGAGATTAATCTACAAACTTGGTGCTGTTTAAATAAGAGTGAGCCATAAAGCAAAGGAAATATCAGTATAACCTAAAAATGTCAGAGATTACAAACTCAATTAAGTAATTGCTTTTATTATTTGATATTTATTTGTTTTAATATTGGGCCATTTGAAATTATCTACAGTTTTTTCAAATTGAAAGCCCAGTGACCTTGATCAAAGCAGATGTTTAAAGGTTTTTTATGCTCACTGTGAATAATTCTAGCATGTGTTGTGGCATAATTTTCAGTCTAGGGCTAAGAAATGAGAATTCAAAAGTTTATTTTCATCATATTAAGCTCTTTTATTTAAAAAAAAAAGAACAAAATGCTAGTCAGTCTGTTCATAAAGTTCGTGCTATATATGGAAAAAGTGCTATTTTTGATGACACTGTTTGAAAGTGGTTTGAAGAAGTTTAAATTTTGCAATTTCAGCCTCCAAGATGATGCCCCCTCCCTTAACGGCCATCCTCTGGAAACAAGACCCTATTAAAAAAAAAACCTATCGGTGAAAATCCAAGTTATACAGTTCAGAAACTATCAAACAGAACAAATATTCTCCAAAATATACTAGCAGAGTAGAATGCACATGTTCGAGTTTTCATGTGTGATTTTTTGTTTAAAAAAAAAAGAAAAAAAGAAAGAAACTTGTAAATAAACCTGATAACTTTTTTTAAAAAAAGAATTTTTCAGTAGCTGAGAAATGGCAAAAAGTCACAGAATAAAATTACACTAAGTAAACATGAAAGTTTCATACGTTTTTGCATTGCTTCCTTTGTATTTATCATTTCCAATACTTATTTCAAATAATATTTCAAGGAAATATAAAAAAATTTGTTTCTCAAAAATATAAATAGAACAAGGATTACTTCTGATTACGCTTAACAAACTTTGTTTCTGATGATGCACCTTTAATAAACATAATATAACATTGCAAATTTAAAATAATTTTCAGAGAAATGGGAGTGGTAAACATAATATGGGGGGACCGGAAAGTAATGCCGTTTCTGCGCATGTCGACAACAACATGCTAAGGGCAGAAGTGGAAGCAAATCCATGTCAAACACTCTTATCAACCTTGGTCGACCAACCAAGAACATTTAAAGCAGAATGGAAAAATAAGCAAAGCAGGGTTTGAGTCCCCCATAATCTGTCCGAAAAGAACAAAGCCAGGCCTATCCATCACATGCAACGTATTGCTTCACCATACAGAACCGTTTTCTGATTGTTTGATTACTGGAGACAAAAAAGTAAGTCTTATATGATAATCCAAAACTCAAAAGGCAGTTTTAATAGGGGTTACAAAGGGTTTACATCCCAAAAAGGCGCTTCTGAGTGTTTGGTGGAGTATTCGCAGAATTGTTCATTTTTAATTGCAGAAACCCGGACAAACTGTTAATGCAGTCTTTTATTGTGAACAATTGGATGGAGTGAACCAATCTTTAATTGAAAAATATCAATTGTCAACAGAAAAAAGCATCATTCTGCAACATGACAATGCAAGACCGCACTGTGCAAGATGAACACTGGAAAAAATTAATGAATTGGGGTGGGAGGTATTGCCATACTCACCCATCATACTCAGCTGATATCGCAGCATTGGATTTCCATTTATTCGGATCCCTACAACATTTTCTTAGTGGCAAAAAATTTGAAAATTTGGATGAGGTCCAAAATGTTCTCTCGAGATATTTTACTCAAAAACCAATTGATTTTTATCAGTCTGGGATTGAAAATCTGCACATTAGATGGCAAAAGGTTTTTGATAACGATGGTGATTATATTATTGATTAAAAATAAAAACTTGTTAAAAATGTATTCGTTTCAATTTAATGTAAGAAAGCGACATTACTTTCCGGTCCCCCTATTATTTCATGTCCTACTCAATTTTCTCATTGAGATTTAAAAAAAAAAAAAATTACAAACCTTACGAATTGTTTTGTTTGTTTATTTCACATTCAATAGAAATCGGACTTGTGATAACAAAATACTGAAATTATGCATTGTTATCCTTCTTCTGATCCAAAAATACCATTTATTAACTTTCATTTTACTAAAGTTATAAAAGTATCTCTTATGCTTTTTATTGATTTTTTAACTAAAAGTTATAAAAATTCTTAAGTTTATCACTCAAAAATATGGCATCTATAAACTGATAAGTTTCAAATATAAAAGTAAATTTATTACTCACAGTTCTACCTCCTTCATAGGGCTTCTCTACTTTATAATAACTAAAGTATCTGAGTGTCGGATAGCCTTTCACATCATGTGCAGAACACACACTACTGTAAGATGTGCAATCAATTGCTGCAAATTCAACCTAAATAAAGTACATAGATTTTATTTTAAAATATAAAAAAACAGCTGATGTATTCCTTTAAAATAAATTTTAAAAAAAAATAAAAATATGGTAATGAAATAAGAGAAAAAGATAATAACTTTAAGGGCACTTACATTACGTATGTATCTAAAAATCATTCCTATGGCAAAAAATACTTGAATTTAAAAAAAATTGCATTTAATAGTTCTTAATTAGTTTTGTTTTAGTTTTTGCTGGGTTATTCTGTTTAACTCAAAAAAGCTAAACAAAAATAAAAGCTGCACATAATCAGTTTTCAGTTTTTGAGAAATGTCAAGAATCTAATGATAAATATGAAGACTAAATTTTAAGAAAGATCTGCTTTGCAATAAAAATGAAGCAAATAGGAATTTTTTCTTTTATGAATTTATATATAACTTTCTGTTCTTCTACATAATTTTTTTCTGGGTTTAAACATTTGTCATAATAAACAAATTTTGGGGTACTCTCTTAAAAGAATTGCTGCCAATGATGATAGCCACTTAGTCACGGTTGTTTTCACTTTTATTGGTGGCTTTCAGTTCTTCACTTGGACAAATCTTTGTATTAATTTAGATCTCAACTGCTCGCACCAAAACATCACTGCTTACAGATGACTGACCGAAAAGCGATTCATGATGAACATCTTTCTCAGCTTGCTTGAACATTCTGATCCATTTTCACACTCCGCTGTCACTTATTGCATTGCCACTGTACACCTCACAAATCTGACAATAAATATATACAGCTTTAATGTTTTTTGCTGTTACAAACCGAATGAATGGCTATATTCTACAACCGCTGGTATGCCTGATTTTCTTAAACATTTAAATCTCACAGGATGAAGCACACATATCGAAATTATGAATGCAAGGGACATCAGGTTGTTCACAGAGAATGCCACAAACCTGCACATGCACTCATTCTTAGACATATGGAAAATTTCAAACAGTATCCACGGGTGCATTTTACTTCAAAAATAGTCCTTGTAAAAATAATACTGATTATGACTCCAAACTACATTGAAATAATAATGAAATGGAGCTTTCACAGATGCTTTGCTCTGTCAGCAAGAACCTGAATGATTGCTAGCATTTATTTGGATTCTAGCTGATGAAACACATGCTTCATTTGTGAAAGCTCCACTTAACTGTAATTTCAAAGTAGTTTATCCTGTGAATTAAAACTGTTTGTATTTATCATTTTAACACAGTTATTTCCAAGATTTCAAAAATCTAGATCAATAAAGTTCTTTCTTAAAATTAAATCATACGTGCATTTAATCATATGTAACATTTTAATCATATGGTCTTGGTCAAGCTTTTTATATTACTCAAATCTCAAATACCCCACCAGTATTTGAAGAGTAAAAATAGAATAAAAATAAATAAATCTGAAAAAAGTTTCCCCCTCCCCCCAAAGTTTGATGATTTCTCAAAAGGGCTTTTTTTTTAATTGAATACTGTTTATCATTAAAGATTATCCATAGTATGGTCCGGATGAAAGAGCAAAACATTTTATAGGATACTAGATGAACATACATTTAGGCTAACATGAGAATATAATGTATCTTCTGCATATTTGAAAAGTGAAAAAATATGTAATGTAATTCTATACGCATATTCAATATTTTTAATTAGACTGTTTTAAACTGTTTTATTAAGAAATGAATGCTTTACTATTTTATATTACTAAGCCATGCCCAGATACTTAACAAAAAGTGTTTTGATGTCTGATACAATAACAACTTAGTCCATTCAATTATTGCAGTCGTAAGATACTTTGCATTACCAGGATATTTATCATTCATTCGACAGGCAAATACTACTATCCCACAACGCATAAAAACTTTAATATGTCTGGTCAAATAGCCAGTTCCCATCGGACAGTGAAACCTTGGATCACAAATGAATCTCATTATGAGCAAACTGGATCAGGAAAAAAAAAAAAAAGAAATGCTTTGGGGAATGAAAAGTGTCTCAGGTTACAAATAATCAAGCCAACAATAAATGATTTTCAGATGCGCCTTTGAGGTAGCCTCTGACATAAAATTAATACTCAGGGACTTTCAAAAATATTATTTTAATAGTTTAGATTGTTTAACTCTCACTAACAAAGCCTGGCAGTAAGTGATTTACAGTACAATGAATTCAGACTCAAGGAAATTATGGCAAGATTGCTCCTGCAGACAGACATTCTGAGGGTTTCACACTGAGATATCTGTTTTAATGATAATGCATAATAATAATTATCTTTTTTATTTTGCAATAATGCATAGGCACTCACATATTATCCCATCAACAGTGATTGTTGGCTACCATCAAATCAAAGAAATTGGCAGAAATCCTGCCAAAGTTACAGCAGCTGTTTTTGTGGAATTCTGATCCACATTTCTATCTGCAGCTCTTAAAATAAAACATTTGTCAGTCTCTTTGCCCAATATAAGGAAGCCACTGTTGGGAAAGTATTCCACTGACCTTTTTTTACTGTTTTTGCATTTTACAAAAGAGTTTTCATCAATTTCTATTATTTTGTTATGTTTTCCAATTTTACCCTAAGCTCTATTTAGAATGCTTTGTATACAAACCCTCCACATGTGATTGTTCCAGTCTATTACTGTTTGTCAGCAATATTCAGCTGCTTTTCTCCCCATTTAACAGGTGCTAATTCTCTGAGCTAATTGTAAATAAACCAAAGTGCACTCACAATGTGATTCTACAGCCCTCAAACTTTTTTTTTTTTTTTTTTTTTTTTTTTTTCCAAAATTCAAGGAAAAATACAGCAATGACAGTTAATTTATACCCTGGTTCATAAAAACAAGAAGTGGCTCATCAGAAATCAATTCCGGTTACATCAAATGAAAGCACAAATGTTAAAAGCATGTTGTGATGTCAGGCATACCTACAACTGGCATTAAATTACATTGCTTGGCCAGATTGTTTCAGCCGATGGAATAATATATTAATAATAATAAATTTAACATAGTTCAAAACATATGCAACTGAAAATTTTCATGAACATTTGCACAAATACAGAAATTAATAAAAGATAGTTATATATATTATGCATCTCAATCAGAATAATCATTTATGCACAAGCTCAATAAGTTTCTAAGATAAGGAACTGAAAACTGGAACTTCCAAACTCAAACCTGTCCTTAACAACATATTTACAGACTGCTTTTCTTAGCCCAGAAATAATTCTTTCAACAGTTAGTTAAACTATGTTGAAAAATTAAACACTCATATGCTTATGTTCTTTACAGCTTTTATACATTATTATCTTCATAATTACCTCAGGATCATCTATAAAATTATCAGCAGCAGCTTGAAACTCAGGTTTTGCTTTCTTACAATAACCACACCCTGCAAAAGAAAAAAAAAATTTTTTTATCTATTGCTTTAATATATTCCACATTTTTAACATTTCCAGTTCAAAAGAGGAGAGATTTAACTAAAGCAGTGTATCACAATCATCAAAAACGTATCACACTTCATTTGAAACTTATTAGTTTACATCAAGCAAAATGATATCAAACTCAATTTAAAATTTGATTTTCAAACTAAATTAATAGTCATTAAGTTTATTTTCATTTCAAATGCAGCAGCTGCTGCTTATAATGCCATTTGACGTACTGCATTTTTAGATAGTAAATAATTTAATATCCAAAATTACAAGAAGAAATAAAATCTGGCAAAGAATTTTATAGTCTGATAAAATTAAGAATGATGATAGTAAAAGTATAAGACAACAAGGGGGAGACAATACTTTTAAGTTAACAGTGACTGGAAGCTGTATTGGTGGGTCCCCTCCCACAAATGTAAACTTTTTTTTTTTTTTTTTTTTTTTTTTTTTAACATTTCGCCAGGAAACAGCAATTTCACTGACCATGAAAAGTCAAATTCATTGGTCATTTAGACATACCATCACCATGAATGTTTACTAGGATGCACCATAGGAGGTGATCAATAATACACTTACAGTGGAGAATAGACAATTATAAGTAACCATGCCTTTTCCAGGATTTGAATCCAGATCCAGTGATAGGGTAGCCAGCTGCACTAACCATCATATGAAATGGAATGGAATTGCATCATTTTTGTTTTAGCAACAAAAGTAAAGAGAGGGCTATTTGCTTAATTTTCAAGCATGCACATATGTGCAAAATTTATGACAAATTCAGTTTTAATGCACATTTTTCACATATCAAAGCTGCGACGTATGAAAGTCATTTCTATTCCTTCTTTCTACCCTTCCCCACATCATGGAATGTGGCAACAGGAAGTCATTTGATTTTTTTTTAACTGGCCTTTTGTGCTACGTGGCAGCTTTTGCATGAAAGTTACGATGCGCACGTGGTCGTGTTTGAAAATTCAAAAAATATTTTTTCTCAAATATTTTGTAATTCTGTGTTATTAATTGGCATGTATTATTTTAATTTGAATACATTTGGCTCTGTAAATTTTATATTGTTTTTATGTGCAACCAGCTGATTTTGCTCGGATTCTTCAAGAATTATCTGATGAAGAAAAGGAAGACAAGGAAACCTTTGGATGGGAGAACAATAGCGATTTGCATTCCTTATTTTCTTTTATTTCTATTTTTTAGAATTAAATAAAAACATTAAAGTTAGTTTAAAGTGTGTTTTTGTAACCAGTAAGAAATAAATTTCCTTGAAGAAGTAAGTAATGCTAAACTTACTTTTTTTCCTACCAAGGTGTTTTCCTTTTTTATTGTCTATACCTGTCTTTGATGAATATTAAAATTAGCTTCGATTTTAAAATATAATTATTAATTAATATATTTAAAATTTTCTATATAATGAAATCCATCATTGCTATGCTCGTTTTTCATGCCTCCTGCTTCAAAATAACCTAATGAATCTACAGTGGCACCCAAACTAAAAAGGTGGTGGATGATGATTCTTCAACATTCTCCAAACAATAAAATAGGTACCTGAGCAACTGCCTTGTGAAGTTAAATACAGGGTGAGTCTAAATTGCTTTTACAAAATAAGAGGAGTGAAAGTACCCATCCAGATGAGCAATAATTTTAATTATCATGGAACACAGAGTCGCACTCCACTCTGAGAGGCAGAAAATAATCTTAGGCAAGCAGCTGTCACAACAAAGTAGGTGATATCAATTTTAGATACGACAAAAGTACTTCTATAGATGGTAATATTAAGCTAATTTAATTGAATAAATTTCTAATGAAGAAATCTGAAAAGTTTCAATAGCTTATTTTATTTTATAAAATTTAAAACTGCAGATTTTTTGTTATAGTAATAATGCATTCTGTTCACAGACAATAAACATAAGATTTGCATAGAAATATAAGACTTACACAGATTTACATAAGAGATTAGAGAACAAATAACATATGATTTACACTGAATGAATATATAAGACTTACAAAGAGGTACCCAGTAGATTCTATTGAGCATCAAATGTACATTTTCATGAATACCTAAGCTCATATTTTAGACCTTATTGCATTGAACATTTGCAAATGCGAGTAATTCTTTTGGTTATTAAAACTTATGATAATAATGATACTTCAATGGTTTGAATATGCCCTCATTTGTTATATTTTAAAGCACACCATGACTCGACAGCTATTTAAAAATTCTTAAGATTACAAAAAATTGGGGAAAAGTACACTTACATGGAGCATAAAACATAAGCAGAACATGTTTCTTGCGTTCTAAGAATGATTTAAAATTTTCTTCATTGAGATGCACAACATTGCTTGGTTCTTCACTCCAAGGTGTTTCAGGAGGTGGAGGTGGTGGAGGTTCTTTAGGGCTTTAATTCCATTTAAAGAAAAATTATTAACTATTAAAAAATTTTAAATATTGAATAAAAATTCACAAAAAAATATAAGTATGAAGTTACTACTCACTCTTTCATAAATTCAAAGATTTTATCAGCTGTTCTGAAGTTTACTTTAAACATCAAATTTCCTTCCCTATATAAAATTTTCAGAACAAAAAATTATCAAATTAAAAAAACTCAAATACCTCAAAAAAGATTAAGATGCTTAACTAAATAACGAGAAGCATAAATAATTATACACAATATAAAGAAAGCTAAAATGAAAAAGTGAATGCAATATGTTTACTGCAAAATCAATATAGCCTTAACACGTTAGATTATTTGATCAGAAATCTGTATAATTTATTATCACATAACACATTATTTATTAAACACAGACTCATTGCATACTTTTATAGAAGAATTTCTTAAAGTAAATTGATTCCCCATGCATTTGCCCATTTCCATCCAAATCTGAGAATTTTCCATGCTCTTCTCATGTGTATTGGAATCTTACTTTTAGAATCAAAACCACTCTCAGTAAGCTGTGTTTAACTAAGCATATTTACCATTCATTTCCTCAGCAAACAGTATATTTTTGCTGCAGTTTTCTTTAAAATATAATAATGAAGTGAAATTTAAGGCACACACTGCTCTGCGTCCCACACAAAACTTAGCATTTTAAATGAGGCAAAATAATTGTTTACACTTTAAACAGATTACAATTTAATAACCCAAGGTATAAGTGCTCAGATACATATGCTCAGATAAATCCCAGATACATACGCATGCATGATATTCTACTAATGGAAAAAGAGTAGATTCATATTTACACACCCAATCATTAACACACGAAGCAAAATCATGAACACTTCTTACAACAAAATCCAGTCAAAATGCCAGAACTCAAGGTGAAATAGCAGCATTTCAGTGTTTTATCTTATCCCCCTGGATCATTCATTATTAACAAAAAGAAATTTAACCTTTAAAGGAGAGCTATTTTAAACAAGTCTCATTATGTAGGATAACATAAATATGGGAAAAACTCACATTTCTTCAAATCAAATTTTATCTACAATTAGAATTTATTTACAATTATAGAAGAACATAAAACTAATCTATGCTTCTAATACATCATTTTGTGATAATATATACAAAATGGCAGATAATATCAAGCATGGTTAAGGAATTATTATGATAAGGAGCTTCTTAATTTTAGCATTTTCTTTCTGTTCTTTTGTAGACATGGATATTCTTGTTTTCTCACATTATTTTTAAAAAATTACATTTGTTCATATGTGGCTATGACTATGATTTGAAATATATTGGAATAGATAAAATTTTTTAATCATTACTAAGAAGTTTCTTGGCACATAAGAAAATGGGACTCAAAACATTTCCTCAATCAAATACAGTATTATTTCATCAATAAATTATTATTTCACTTTAAAACTACAGACAGATTCAAATCAGTTATTCTGTTATGAAATATGTCTCAATTACAGTACAGTCTATTGTCAAATTAGCAAACTCGGAAGAAATATTACTATATTTAAAAATATTATTACTATTACATAAATAAACCCAAACACATAAATCATACTGCAAAATTCACTAAGTCTGTAACATTGTACAGTTGGCAATCAAAGACAAATATTTACTGATTTACCATAAAAATTATGAATAATGTAAATTTAACTTCAGTAAAACATAAAAATGAAAACTGTGATAATACAATAGAGATTAAACATTACTTTAAAAAATTATTATAATTAGAATATCCTTTGTAAGGTTGATTAGCACTTACTTAAAATAATTAAGAGTAGGAAATCCTGTTATTTTAAAACGCTCACTCAAACCCCTTTCTTCTGTAGCATCAACTGCAGCAAGAAGTCCAGGAATCTAGATAAAACATTGTTAAGCAAATAGTTTCATTTTTAATTTGAATATTTTATTTTCAATTTGCACTGGTATGCAATTCATATATCTTAAAGAAAACAGAAGGCATTTAATTAACATAAAGATATTCACAGAGAATTTTATATCTTGAAGTATGCAGGTTTGAAATGTGTAGATCCATTTATGCATGAATTTTTTAAATAAACATGTGGAAATATTTTAGACATTTACATAACTAAAAAAAGCAAGCAAAAAACTAAATAGATTATAAACATCAAAATCAAACTTTAAAAAAAATTGCATGCAATGTGACTATCAAATTTATGAACACAATGCTACAATTTCATCATTTACTAATGTAAATCTTTACCATAATGTACCACAAATAGAATAAACACTAGCAGATTTCGTATGATGCCACTGAGAGAAATGTTTAACAAACATAAAGCTAAACTATAACTGCATGACATTTACTTTGAGCTACTGGAACCATCTTTTGCAGATAGTATTACACTGGGTACATATGTTATGAGCTTCTATTTTAAATGTTCCAATCTGGCATCAGTTATACCTGACTGAATCGTTCAAGAATCCAATAAACTGAGTTTTCTAATCTGGCACAATTCTTAATCATTTTTCAATGAGTTAAGCACAACAATGCAAACTTTAATAGCACAAAACGTTTCCATAATAAAAGCCCCTGGTCACACTGGTATTCTTTTCAAAATCATAGATAAAAGTGAATGACATTTTAATAAAACATTAAAACTGCCTGACACTTACTGAAGACTTAATGTAACAAATTAATTTCTCTTGTTGTTATAAAGCAATCATATTGCTATGAATTTTGTATATACGTAAATAATTTTAGTGAAATTGTAGTATCCTTTGTATAATGTAACATGAAATGCTTGAGACAGCGAAGCTCTGATGGATAAATGAGATTATAGGGGCAAACTCTTGTCACAAAATCTGGTAGGAAACCATCAAAAGTTGCTGAGCTTAGTGACATTTCAGTCTGGTCTGTGTAAAACTGTAACTGGTCCCTATATCTCTACATATAATAAATGAAATCACATCATTTTGAGACATAATGAGCTATAGGAAAGCGAGATTTTACTCTACGCACTCTATTTTCAAATCGTCATGAAACGTAGGCATTTAGCTATTTTACGAACTTAAAATAAATTTCGTGTTTCAATAAATCGATTTAATATGAATTTATTTAACAAAGTGAGCTTAACACCTTTTCAACGGGATTTTTTCTAAAAAAGTTTATTTTTTAAAATGTGCAGTTTATTTTTCTTTGATTTTTGGACACGATTTTGAACTTTCATCCTTGTGACTGCTTTTACAAAAAGAATTTTCGAAAAATGATAATATTTTGTATTTTTAAAAAAATTTTTAAATGAAGCTTCCAAGTACACTTATCACATCTTTAAAAATGTGATTTTGGCAACAATTTTCCTTTCTTATTGTTGTTGATCGATTTTTGATGAAATCGCATAATTTTGAATAGTTTCATTCTTTTAGAAATATGGGTTTGGCAACAATTTTTCATTGTATTTCTTATGTCACTGTTTTTAAGAGATTGGCATATTTCATTGTCATTTTTTGTATATATATACACTTTACACTGTAGTGTATTTACTTATGGCAAAGCACACTAGGGCTATCTGCCTAAGGGGAGGGATGCCTTCGTGGAGGACTTTCTAAGGTAAACTGGCTCGTATACACATTAAATTTGGGGAAAACCAAACCTCTTTATACCATTTGAGTTTTTTAAGGTTCTGAAAAGAGAAGTTGGTTAATTTATTTATTAGGATAATTAATATTTGTATTAAGGGATACTGCTTAGTTCATTGTAATTTTTTTTTTTTTTTTATATATGTAATACATTTCAGAAAAAGAATCATTCAAACTATCAAGTAAGAAACTGTTTAAAAATTTTTTATTTTATTGTAGAATTTTTATATAATTTTTAATGTAGTTATGGTGGTGGTTAAGAAGGGGACATAAATTATGCTTTAACAAATGTTTAATGCCCATCTTATGCAATCAGTTTGCTACAAATTCAAGATGTATATGTTTTTCTGAAGATACATCAGGGCCGTATGCAAGGGAGGTTGGAATCTTAACAAAGAGAAAAAAGTTGGAAGAACTTACGCAGCCATCGGTCCCAGGTGTGTCTTTTAGGCATTTTTCCGGTACACTTAAAAGCCAGATGAAGGCTGGCCACATAGCAGTTAGTGTAACTATAACCATATCTAACCCTTATAAACTTTAACTGCATATGCCTTTAAGCAATTTTGAGAAACAGAAGAAACTAGAGATTTCTTGGTGGCCCGGGAAAATTACATAAGCCCAGAAAGAGAATCAGTTCTCAGTCTTTAGTTCAGAATAAGATCTATGTGCGAACTTTGCTCTTTACATGTTCTTTGCATTGTATTCTGTCTAATGTTCTTATTACTTTAAAATGGTAGCTACTGATTGTGCTCTGTCATACTGTGGATATGCACTTTGCATTGCATTCTATCTAATGTTCTTATTCCTTTAAAATGGTAGCTGCTGATTGTGCTCTATCATACTGTGAATAGTGTACACGTACTTTTGTGGAATGTTCTAGAACTATAAAGTGTTCCTTTTGTGAAAATAAATTTTATCAAGCTATCATCGGTTCTGTCCATTCAACCCATCATGCACACATGTGCACACAACAATTTTTGGTGTCAGAAGTGGGATTTGAATGTCGATGATTAGAGCAATGGAGGAGCATGTAAGGTACAATGTAAGAGAATCATTTTTTAATCATAATCTAAAAAATACCATTTATTGATGACATTCTGAGGAACTTTGAAATTTCAGGGTTAAACCAGTAATATTCAGCAGTTTAAAATACTGTAATTTTAAACTCAGTTAAAATGCTGCAAACAGAAAACCATGGAAATTCTGCAGGAGCTTGCCACTGAGGTTGAAAAGCTGTTTCATCTCATTTTTCCACAGTGCTCTTCAGAAATAAGGCAAATCCTGTCACTGCAGCACTTCATCGATGGTATCCAGGATCCTGAGATACACAAAGCTCAGCGAATTGTGGATATCAAGGATTTAAAAAGAACTTTAGTCTACATCATGAAATTCAAGGCAGCCCAGCAAGCAACTCATAGAGACGTCCATTCAATCAGAGCTGCTCATGTCTGGGAGCCAGTACATCAACTGACTGTTCATGTAGTCAATTTAACCAGGCAAGTCAATGTCTTGAGTTCTAATAAGAGTGACAACAAACTGACCCAAAAACTGTGCTGAAACTGTGGGGTGAAGATTACAAACAAAGGAACTGTGGAACACCCCAAGGCATGAGAGCTGAAACCACTTCAACAAAGAAGAGGGAAACTAATTTGGAGAAATATTGCGGGCCAGAGGTTGACAGATATTGTGAGGCTACATTTTAAAGCACTTTAGATTTCTGCAATGATTACTGGCAGTAATGGACTCTTCATTATGAAATATATAAATAGAGTTCCCTGCAATATGACATCAGTAAAGCCAACGTTACTATCATTTGAATAGACTTGTTTCAACAATTGGAAGGAAAATTCATCTGGACGCAACCCTGCATTACTCTCTAGATTATGCCAGAGGATAACATCTACAGGGATGGAAAATAATAGATTAACATTAAATTTGGAAGTGCCACCTACCATTAGAAAACATATGTAGCAAATATTACAGACCCTTCCAATACTCCGATTAGACTTTCTACGGAAATACCATTTTTTCTTGGACTTTAAAAATAATGAATGCACTCTGCCTCTGAAGAGACATTCCTGTTTGGAATTAAAGATAAAAGAATTAAATCTGTCCACCAAATAAAGGTCATGATGATATCACAGTATCAGCAAGAACAGAACGGAAATTTTACTCCCTGGATCTATACCTGAAAATAAAAATTTCCAGTAAAATTTCCAGTATTCCTGAAAATAAAAATTTCCAGTATGGCATAACTGAATATCCTAAGAACTGTCACAGCTCAAATGGTGTACTAGTAACCTCGGCATTCATCGACCTACTGAGGACCATCATCCCAGATAAGATTTGCCAATGTAAGTAATAATGTGAAAGTCATTTGTAAAGACGAAGTATTTGCAGCATATATTTCAATCACCTGCATCAAACAACCAGTAGTTCAAAATCTGTGCCTTTAGAAAAGCTTCACATTTGAGTTATTGTAAAATGCACATTTAAGTGAATGAAACATATTACTCAAGAATTTCAAGATTTTTTCTTCTGCTCATCTTCAGATGCAGGTTGAACAAGTATGACACAGCTTCAAATTGATACAATGGATAATCCGCCAATCAAGCAATATTTAAGATGTCTACAAATTGCTAAGCAGGAAATGGTACGAAAACTTCAAAAGGGCATTCAAAAAAGCAATGTTTTCAAACTTTCAGAAAGTCCATGGTCCTCTCCCTGGTCAGAAACAAAGATGCTTCAAATAGATTTTGCACTGACAATTGCCGTTGAATGAGATCATGAAGAAAGACAGCTACCCTCTTCAAATAACTGGCAACATACTGGATACTTTTTCTGGAAGCAACTGGTTTTCAATGACTAATTTAAAGAGTGGATACTAGCAGGTAGAGATATACCCTGATTACCAAGAAAAAACAGCATCTACTACTGGACAAGGACTTTGACAGTTCAGTGTGATGCCATTTGGATTGTATAAGGTGCCATCAACATTTCAACCCTTATGGAGACCATGCTCAGAGGTCTTCAACAAAGCCTGTCTGATATATCTGGATAACATTACCATACTCAAATTATGCCAAACTACCTATGTAAAAATCGCATAAGTAGTTTTTAAATAATTAGCTCTCAAAATTTTAGCTCCTCAATATTAAATGAGTTTGGTGTATATTTATCAATCTCTTTTTTTATTAAACTTATTTGATTCTTCCTTTCACACTACGAAATTTAGGTTTATTCCAAATAAAATTCACCCATTTTTACAATTTATTTTTTTAATTTGTATTTAAAATAATTTTTATAAATTTTTCAAATTTTTTTTTATTATAATTTAAAAATTTTTACCATCAACTTAATATAGATGTATTTCTAAGTATACCTGCAAAAATTTAGAACTTTTTATTCAAAATTTCCGAAGATATACACGAATTTATATATTGGCGTGTTTTGAAATTTGGCATATTTCTTGAAAGCGATAAAACATCAAATGTGGTTTAGACAGTTTGCTAAAATTATTTGGAAGTAGAAACGGTGTTACTTTTTTCCCGCTCATGTGCAATGTAAAAAGGTAGGAACGAGGTGCCTCCTTTTTTCCCGCCCCAGCATAAAGGAAGGGAAAGGAAAAGTGGTTGCCATAGATTAAGAGGTTCATCAAGTGAATTATTCTTGGTGCAAACTGAAAAAAAATTGTGACAAGATAAATTTTTGAATTTCTCCATAAATTTTGCACCAAATTTTTCAAAATTTAATATCTAGGCATAATTTGAGTCGTAGAATCGAAATATGAAAAAAAAATTGGTATGTTATTTCAGAAAAAGTCTGATTTTGTGTCAAAATAACCTATGTTAGAACAATGCTATATATAAATTTAATATATATATATTAAGTCGCGCTTTCAAGACATGAAAAACACAATTTGAATTTTGTCAATCAGTAGAACGGGAGATATCGAACTCCCCTCCTCTTTTTTAGCGCAGTGTACCTACAATAGGAGATGTGTGAAGGACTATTCTTCCATCACAAGGTTCCCTTCACAAACTGATAGAAAGCAAGCAAAACTGTGGACAAAAAAATGTGAGGATGCATTTTGAAAATTTAAGGAGACTTGACATATGTGACAATTCTGACATATCATTAGCTTCACAAACCATTTATTCATAACACACATGCAACAGTTCATAACACAGATGCAACATGAAAGTGTCAGTTCTGTTTTCCCAAGAAATAAACTGTCAAAAACACGCCACAGCATACTGGAGCAAGTGTCTATCTAAACCACTGGGGAATTATTGTGTCACCAGGAAAAGAGTTGTTCATCATATTTAAAGCTGTAGAACATTTCCACCATTAACTTCTATAGCAGATCCTGCACACAGATCATGCATCTTTCCCCTGGCTCTTAAATTTTAAGAAACATATCTTATCCCTGATCAAGAGGCTGTCACAGTAGCAGAAATAATGATACATCATTGAATTTCCAGGTTTGGAATGCCTCTTCAGTTTCATTCTGATCAAGGAAGGAATTTTATGTCAGCTGTCATTCAAGAACTCTGCAAACTACTCAGCACAGATAAAACCAAAATGACACCTTTGCATCCACAGTCAGACAGCATGGTAAAGAGATTTAATCAGACCATCCATAACAGCCTCTCACTGATGGTTTTCAGAAACCAAAGGACTGGGACCAGGAGTTACCTCTGTTCTTACTATTACAGTGCTGTCCATGAAACTACAGGCTATTTCCCATCCCAGATGTTCTTCGTTTAGGACCTATGTCTGCCTTGACTCTTGTCTGTTTCCCACTGAATGCACCTTCATCACCTGAGAAATACATTCAAGATCTCCAGGCACAGTTTGAAGGGATGCAAAATTTTGCTCGAAAGCAAGTGAATCTGATAATGGAGAAGATGAAGACACAATATGACAGAACTACTACAGGAAGGTAGATTCAATAAAAGTGACAAGGTGTGGTTATGGAATCCGATTGGGTGGAAAGGAATTTCTCCTAAACTACAGTCATCCTGGAATGGACCTCTCCCAGTCCTAAAAAGGCTAAACAATACAACAGTTCAGATCCCGAATTCATTAAATTCTAAGCCTAAAACCATTCACTACAATAGCTTAGCCCCTTACTATGGCCATAGTACCCAGTTCCCATAGCGTATATAATGTAAATAATACACAAAGACAACAGGTTCTATTTGTATATAAATTTGAAAAATAATGCATTTAATTAATGATTTAGTATTTAATTTTTTACAAGCTATTTCCTGAATTTATTGTTTTAGTACTGCAGTGATTTACCTTGGTTATAATTATAGCTTCCAGCCTAGTGAATATATTGCCCACGACGTGTAGTCCTTGGGAAGGGGGCCAATGTTATAAATTTTGTGCATATGTAAATAAATTTAGTGAAATTATATGTGAAATTGTAGTATCTTTTGTACAGTGTAGCATGAAATGTTTGAGACAGTAAAGCTCTGCTGAAAAAATAAGATTACAGGAGCAAGTCTATTTAACATCAAGGTAAATAGCTATCTCGCTAAATTGGTGAGATATGGCCAAACTGGCATTATTTTGGCTACTAATTTTTGTTCCAAATTTAGTGAGAAATCCCCATTGTAAGTCACCAATTTAGTGAGGTGGGTCACCAGACTTGGCGATATTTTGGTCTGGTCCCTGTACAACTGTAATTGATCCCTGTCTGCAACAGTAACTGTATCCGACCCCTATGTGTAATTTTAACCATACATGCCTTCCAGTAATTTTGAGAAATGGAAGGTACTGGAGATTTCTTGGAGGCCAAGGGAGACTATATAAGCCCAGAGAGAGAATCAATTATCAGTTCTTAGATCAGAGTTAGATCTCTGAGGGAATTTTGCTCTTTTAATGCACTTTGTACTGTGTTCTGTTTAGTAGTTTAAAAGTTAACTGCACTTTGCACTGTGTTCTGTTTAAATGTTAAGTAGTTTAAAATGGTAAAAACTGATTGTGATCAAATAGCCATATAAGTACTTTTGTGAAAAGTTCTAGAACCATGAAGTTTTCCATTTTTGAAAATAATTTTCATCAAGCTATCATCTGTTCTGTGTGCATTCAATGCATTATGACACACATGAAAGCAGTAATATTGAAAGTATTTTGTTATCAATGAATGAATCCTTATATAGATACAATTTTCTTCATATTACCTTTTCACTTTTGATTTCTAATGCTATTAATATATAGAAAAAATCTATGGTATTTTGCATTCTTAGGTAAGTAGACTTTTCAATTTGAAAACAGTGTCATTGGGTACAATCTATTAGTGCAGTAAACTGAAATTCTCATAATTTTATAAAGGCAACTTGGCAACAAATTTAAAAATTCACATATTTCAGAAAAGTGCAAAATAATTTAAAATTATTTTTAAAACATTATGAATTACTTAAAATATGCAATTAACATTAATTCTTAGGAAGAAATAATACAAAGCTAATAAAAATGCTGATCAATAATAAAAATTTAAGCATACTTTATTATCTTTTATTTTTGCAGCTGCTTTGGCAAATTCTGGTTTCAAAGTTTTGCAGTGTCCACACCCTACAAAATACATTGTTTGGTATGAATATTTACACTTTATACACACGCAATATACACCATGTACACTTTCCTTTACAAAAGAGCTTTAAATGAGGAAAATATTCACTTCAAGTCATTTTTAAACTTAAAAAAATAAATTTCATAAAAATCACAAAAATCTATCTTTTGATATTGCCCTCTGAATCATACAGTTACAAAAAATTTACATCGATTCTAAAAAATAAAACCCAAAAAGATTTATTCTAGAATATTTTTGCAACTATTCCTGAGAAATTATGATTAACTTTTTGTAATCAGATTCAAATGTTGGGTGAATTTATAATCACAAATATTTGGCTTGGTAAAAAGAATATAACACAGCGAATTATAAAATTGCGTGACACTCCCAGTTAAAAAATTAATTATTTTTCTTTATACAGATCCCAGCATATATGTAATCAACACTTTAAAAAGTTCTTCATAAATCTTAGTTTAATATCCAACTGCTAAAGGAGGGTTTTTTTTTTTTTATTATTATTATTCATATTTCTGTGGAATTAGTGATGATCATTTTAATCTATTTGTTTAGATATATTTTTTCCTTGTCTTTGAATCCCATTTGCAAAGAAAACCATAGTATTTTGCCTGTAGAATCACAAGAATAGCAACTACCATATATTTGCATGTATAAGCCAGGATTTTTTTTCTTTATAACTAAAATTTCGGGGTTGGAGCTGAAGCATTCGGTCAAAATGACTTTTTCAATGATAATGTTCAAAATAAGAAATAACTCAATAATAAAACAATCAAAACAAAATATTATTGACTGAAATAATTAATATTTAACTAAATTTTTTTTATTTAATTTAATCTCAATACATATTAATTTAATTTAACATCTGTATCAAACCCATAATTATCAAGCAGTTTTCTGAACTCTCTCTCCCTTATAAAGTCCATGTGAACAGCATTACTTTCCACTTCACCATTACTATCATTATATCATCCACCTTACACATACCTCCATTTCCATCCATATAATTGCTAATACAATATTTTCTGAATGATTGGAGTGATCATTTCTGGCCTATACTTTTAATACATTAGGACTTAGTACTAACTTTCAGCTTGTCTGATAGGTATAGCTAAGTCAAATGACCATGTATTTGAATTTCCAGCAATATGGAATTATAGTAACTGGAATTACAGCATGATTTTAAATTTGGCTTATACACAGGTTTTCAGTTTTGGCTGAATGTTTTTAGCAAAATCTTATTTCTCTGCTTATTTATGAATCCTCTTATATTAAAAATTACATGTTATTTTTAATTACCAAATCTTCTATTTGAAAATCCTGTACATAAGGACTTTTCCCATAGATTTCTAGCACACTGATACTATTTCTGAGTCTTATATGTTAACATTATATGTTAACTCTTCATAAATGTAACAAAGAATTAAAAAGGACCAACAGATGGAAACAAGTAGCATGGAATGAAGAGACTCAATTCTAACTGCATCATACTGGTGATAGGCTAAGCATCAGCCCCATAAAAAAATACATCCAACATGCTAGGTTAGAGCTGCACAAGGTCATGCCTCATTATTGGTCTGGGGTAGTTTCTCTGAGCAATGTTTAGAAACTTTGATACTTATATCACACATCTTCACAGCATCTGCTAAGCGATGACTTACATCTCTTTTCTGACATGCAGATGGAAATGAGATGTACAACTACTCCAATTCCAGATCCCAGTTTACTATCTGGTTTGACAAGTATTTGTATTCCATTAAATTCTCCCAGTTGGTTCCAATAAAACACCTCTAAGGGTAAAAAAGTACAAAGCATGTCCTCTGTTCTTAAAATCCTTAGCTCATTTATAAGAAATTCTGGAAGATGTTTAGCAAGTTATACCTTTGGAACACTTCCATAAACTTATTGAATTCAGCCTCACTGTGTAGCAGCCATTATCAGAGCCAAATGAGCAGCAATTCATTACTAATCTGGTATGCCTGGTTTTGTAACCCTTCAGTATATTATCATACAGTTAACCACTTAATTTTGTTCAATTATAGAGAATCATCATCTACATATAGCTGGATTTTTATAGAAAACAGGACCATCAAATAAAAGATGGACCAGATTTTAAATCTTTATATTGTGCTCCATCATACACCAAGCTATTCAGTTTTTATACAAAAGAATGAGAAAAAGAAAATCTGAAAAATTTCAGATTTTAATGACTACCCAAAAGGGTTTATTAATGTATTCAATGCTCCCACTGAACTCGCGGCCTACCAGTTTGCTGTTTGCTGTTATGCCCCCCCCCCCCCCCCCGTCTTTTTTTTTTTTTTTTTTTTTTTTTTGCTTTAACAATATTAACCATAAATTTTTTCGCACTTACGCCATATATAATATGACAGAAAAATTATGAAAATTTTAAAAGCTAGCAGTATACATTTAGAATTCCCAATGCAGCATTAAAAGTTGGCATGCATTTTTCTGTTTTTTCAGTCTTTTCTAAATTCATCATATCAATGTTCAGTCTTCTTACTATTATGACTTAACAAAACTTTTTTTTTTCTTTTTATTATTACTGTTTTGTGTGTTTACATTATTTATTAAATATCATGTTCTTGGTGCTTACGTCAGATAAAATTTTATTCAACAGCAAAATCATTAAATATTTAAAAACATCATATCTTTAGAATTTCAGACAGATTGTTTTGCAGGCTGGAAATAAAAAAGTTTTATTCCATACAATGCTCTCACAGCTTGCTTTGAAATTGTTGAGTTTGTTAATCAAAAATTCATTAAAGTTTTACGATTTTTACAAGTTTTTATTTCTTTGAATATATTACAAGGCAATAATATTTAGCAGCCACAATTTGAAAAGTGATACAATGCATTCAAGTGTTTTATCGCAAAATGTTATTGTGAGACTTATGTACCTTTTGGACTAAAACTTAGAAAATGCTTGACAGTAAGGACAAGTGAGGTAACATTGAGATGCAGAGAAGTTTCATTCAATAATGAAAATGTTACTGCCTTTAACCCTGCAGTGGAGAAGCCGGCATACAGAATATGCCAATGCCATCTTTTGGGCTGTAATTTTTAGACAACCCGTTCCCGAGCTTCCGAGCTTCCTCTACCCTCCTAGAAACATTCCTTGAATGCAACGCATCTGGTATTTCTGGTCAGTCTGGTTTTCGCATTTTTTCCAAAAGCAGTTATTGTGAACATGTTGCGTAGGCCAATGCAGTACGCCACTCCTCCAAGTATGCACAGAAAGAATATTGTACCTCCTGAAGATTATTTGAGCGTTTTAGAAGTAGTCTCGGTTGATGAAGACTCCAACAATTTGGATAACGCATCTGATGTCGATGAACTGGAAGCCATCGAGCATTTTGATCATGACAGTGACTCAGGATTGAGGGAAATGTTTCTAAACATCCTCATTTTCCTTCCTCAAATGATGATTTTAGCAATGCTGAAAATGACATAAGTGATTTAAAATGTGAGAACTTTTTTGTAAAAACAATTTACAAAAAGAAGAAAGTTGGAGGAAAGTTTCTGAAAGAAGAAAGGGAAACTTATAAGTGGAATAAAGTTCCCTCAAGAGCAAATTCGCCAGAACGCCTCAAAAATTTGATGAAAAAAAGTATTCCCAAGTGCCAAAACTTGTGACGATATAAATGATGAGCTTTCTGCTTTCCAGAAAATCATAAATACAAATATGATCGATGCTATCACACAATATACAGTACAAAGTCTTTAATCCAGACATCCATAATCCAGAATGATCTATAATCCGGACCTCAAAGCTACAAACGTTCTGCGCATATGCATTTACGCATGCAGGTTTAATGTATAACAGACAGTATAAGCTAGGCTAAAATTATCTAATTATCTATTTCGGTTAATGTTGCAGACTGCGTTGTTCCTTAATTCTAATTAGGATCTATTACCTTCTAATTAGGATCCGGCTTATATTTTTTGCAGACTGCTAGAGCAATTTTATAAAAAGTAAGCTTGAACTTTTGATTATGTCAAAAAGAGTTTTCGATTCTGGAGCTGCAAAAGGATCTACAAAGAGAAAGCATGTTTCGATGTACCGCTTCCGATAGTGAAGAAAGTGAAGAAGAGGTTATTGAAAACAAAAATAATTTTGATTCACAAGTTAGTCGGTATTCTTGACACAGCAATTACAGGACTTGAACAGTGGAACTGAACAAGAAATTATGTCTGTTTATAGAATTAAAGAGAAAGTATTAGCCCAAAAAAAGAAGCAACTTAAACAACTTACATTGAAAGAAATGTTTAATAAAGTAAACAAATAAATATTAAATTTTTTTTTGTAAATTTTGATACCCTTTAGATCATAATTGCTCTTTATTTCATAAATTACGTTTTCACATTTTTAATTTTATAATTTCTGCATGCCTTCTTACCAGATTTAAATTGATGATCTATAATCAGGAAAAACCCTTTATCCGGAATCGCCGAAGTCTCGACGAGTCCGGATTAAAGACTTTGTATTGTACAAATAGTTATCTCAAATGAAACAGGACTGCAGATGATCTCCAAAACAACTCAAAGAAAAGCATGTATGATGCTAATAGAGCAGAAATATTAGCCTTTTTAAGAATTTTATTCTTATGTCAAAACTCAATTTGGAGGACGCATGGACAAAAGACAGTACTGGAATTGAAATTTTGCAAGGGTCATGGTCTCGAGCAATTCAGAAACCTGTGTGCTACTATTAGATTCGACAATAAAGGCACAAGGTATGTGCGAAGAAAAACTGATAAGCTTGCTGCACTAAGAGAATTTTTTGAATCTTTTAATCAGAACTGTCAAAACTTTTATACACCAGCTGACAAACTCACAATCAAAGAGAAGTTGGAACCCTTTCGAGGGAGATGCTCTTTTATTCAATTCATCCCCAACAAGCCCGCAAATTATGGTTTGAAAATTTTTGCAGTTGTTGAAACTCACGAACGTTTTATACATTGAAGCTTGAAATTTATTGTGGCAATCAACTCCCAGGACTTTATGAGGCTTCTAATTCACGTTTTGACATTGTTAAAAGGTTACAAAGGCATACAAAGGTTCTAACCATAACCTGACGACCGATAATTGGTATACAAGCTACCCGCTAGCTCAATATCTTCTTACCAAAGGTACCTCACATAATCCTGGATTATAACAAATGTAAAGGCGAAGTTGACACCATAGACCAACTTTGTAGTAATTTCACTGTCGCTTGAAAAACCGAGAGGTGGGCAATGGCAATATTTTTTGCACTGCTAAACGCAGCGGGCATAAATTCGCAAGTGCTCTTGAACTTCGCCAAACCTGATGTAAACATCAAGTTTAGAAAATTTTTTTTGAAAATTCTAGCTACTTCTTTGATGAAACCCCATCTTCAGAATCATCTAAAAATGGCATTTCTCCTGTCGCATTCCAAAGCTGTTATTAGAAAGCTGGTAACAACAGAAGCTGGCAAGACGGCCGAAAGGGACGAGGAACTACCTGCAGAAAAGATCAAAGGACGCTGCGCTCAGTGCAGTAGAATGAAGAATAATTACACTACCATAAAACATTCTGAGTGTTCTAAGTGTACCTGCAAAAATCATCTGGGCAAGACAGTACAGCTTTGCAAACCCTGCTGCAGTGAACAGAGACAATCTGAAGAGGATTAAAGTAGCAAAAGGTTTTTAATTTTTTCATTTGTGAAATTTATTACTGACCGAACTTTTCTTTATGGAATATTTATAATTTGTAAATTTGATTTATGGCCTTATAATTTTCATACAGAAAATAACACGGAATACCATACAACTTTAAATTACATTTCCAGTGCATTCCATTTTTTGAATTAATTAAAAATTCATAATTTCCATCTTTACTGCTTTTTTTCTGTTATTCTTTTTTTATATCATTTTTACTATGACGAACCACCTTATTAATGCCACGTATAAGATTAAGTAGTTTTAAACAAGAAGCAGAGGCTTGAAAAACGACCTGGCGTACTTCATACGCCAGCCCTCTAAAACTGTACCATATGCCAGCCCCTCCAGCTGAGGGTTAATAAGCCAGTTGACTGTACAACAAAAAGCTCAATATACATTATGGTATACAGAATTTCAATCTTTTATACTGTTTAACTCAATTAATGAGGAATTTTTATGGGACACAGCTATTTGGTGATCATACATATTGCCACTGCTGCAATCACACCAACATGATCCAATGCACATGGATGGAAATAGAGTGTTGCTTCAATAGCTAGTACATGGTAATCAACAGAAGCTCATACTGAAATTTACTAATTATATGACAAAAAATTATTGAAAAAAAATTATATTTTTCATTGAAAAAAAGTTAAACTACCCTCAAATACCTGTTACAGCAAAATAATAGCAGGTTCTTTTTTCATGATTTATTAGTAGCATTTAATTTAGTACTTAGCTACTGGTGGGTGCAAAAGCACATATGAATTGATTCATTTTTAATATGTTGTATTTAAAAAAAACTAAACGGAAAAAAAGATTTAAAAAAAAGAGACTAAAAATAATGATGACTAAAGTAAAACCATAAATTTTTACCAACTTTTAAAACACTATTATTTTTTTTTTTTTATAATTTTTTTTTTATTTCCCCTTCATAAGGAAAAATGTAAAGCAATTAAATCAAGATGACTGAATTTACACAAAACTGACTTCCAAAATTATAAAATTTAAGGTACATAAATTTTAATTAAAAAAATAACTCATCAAATTGCATATAAATAAGAACTCAAAAGTTACTTACAAATATAATCAAGCATAGTTTTAATATATGCAATTTAGATATAGAAGCAGTATTTTACTTCCTAAAACATAAAAAATTTTGTAAACTAAAAATATAATTTTTTCTTACAAGGAGCGTAAAACATTACAAGAGCAGATTCTTGAGATCTAATCTTCTCATCAAAGTCATCAGATTTCAATAAATGTACATGCTGTCCCTCAGGTATATCTGACCACCATTTTTCAGGTGGAGATCCAAGTGTCTTAGCTGGTGGTGGTGTTCCATCTACAGCTGATTTCATGTATTCCACAAAATCACTTTCCTTAGAAAGAAAAATTGAATTTTTTTTATTGCCAAATCCTCTAAATAATGTAAATATGCATGTACAGGTTACATTAGCGCATGTTATTTACATTGCAGTTCCCTCATTTTATGTATTGCGCACTCATTCATTCTACTTCTCACTGATCGTTTCAATATGTATTGCAGGCACTCACTCTAATCTTCACAATATCTTACAATTGTTGAGATTTTAAGTAACAGATGTAAGTTACTGTTAAAAACCTCATCAAAACTGAAAACACTAATTATGCAATTTCAATGTCAGAAAACACACATAAATTGTGTGTTTACATGGTAAATGCCTTTGAAATGTATTCTGTTAAAGAATTCCTGATTTTAGAAAACAATTACAGATGAGAACAACAGAGTGTCAATAATTCATGACTGGTCTGAATGCTTACAATTCTCTCTCATTTTTTAACATAAACAACAAAATTTTGATTTTTGAAAATTCAACATAACAACTTTAACATCCATCTTTTTCTTACATGATATGGCAAATTAACTTTTCATTAAAAACAAACTATATTTATAACATATTATGATTGAAGAAATGAGTTAATGTACAACTGAAATTATTCAATATTCTTTGTATTGTTTTACAGCAAACAATGACTGTTTATGTGTGAAACAGACAATGACCGCTTCACATTTGTTTTGTTTTAGACAGATAAACGCTCCTTTTGGATATAAATTTCACTGCCTTTTAAAATTAATATTGAGTTTAAGTGGTTAATATGCTTAACCACTTAAACTCAATATTAATTCCAACCTTCAGCAAACCTTGTCAGTAGTCAACGCGCGAACGACATTTTTACAACTTTGAAAATGTGCGCGTAGCGTATGTTGTAATTAACCATTCATTAATTTTAAATTAATAATTAATTGTAATCAATTTTATTACATTTAAAATCCATATACATATAAAACTGAATAATTAAAATATACCTTGTAAATTATATGCACATTTAATTAGAAATTTTCTTTTAACTCCTCAAGCATTCACTAATAAAAAGTACTCTCAAATCACTACTAATCATAGAAAAAATCAGAAACTATAAATCATATCTTTATTCTGGATATGATTTCTACAGGGAAATAAAATTTAAATAACCAAGAATGATACATATAAGTATTAAACAAAATACGCATAATTTATGAATGCAAAGATTTATATGTAGCATGCTTAGCAAGCTTAAGTTCTGATTTGAGAATGTTTTTTTTATAACACAGTCTTCATTTGCCTGCATATTTATTTTTTTCAATCAAACTGCTTCAAGAGTTTTAAGACCTAAATTTGGTCGAAATTCCGTCTGATTTTTTTTAACAATAGAAAAAATTCTTTCGCAAGCTGCATTTGAATGAGGTATTATAAGACAGCAAGCATTACAGAAGGCAATACTTTGTATTTAATACACCCATTCATATTTTTTTAATTTGGCAATTCTTTCTCCCCATGCTAATCAATACGCAAATCTACAATTTCTTTCAAATCATCTACTTGATACATGGAAATTCAATTTCTACTTGATTAAGACATTTTTCATCAATAATGGATGGAAAAGTATTCATCAAGTAAAGAACTGAAAATGAGACTTCAGTTCTCAAGTTGATGTCAGCACTTCAGAATGTTTTAGAAATGGATCACTCAGTGGAAATTTATCAATTATATATGAACATGCAGTTACAAAAAAAGCTCGCACAGAATTGAAAAATGATTTCACTTCACTTTCATTCAACTTGGCATTTTTTAAATATAGTCTGTTCCGCACCAATCACTAAATTTTCATTTCTTTTTGTTTACTATACTACTTCTGAAATGGAATAGACGTTAGAGTAACATCTTCATTTCTTTAGAATTACTGATCGTTTTACGAATCTAACAAATAAATTCATTAAAAGTTCAAAAAGTTCTCTTCTCAATTTATGTATATAAGGAGCTTGTTGTTGCAAATTAATATTTACTGTTATAAACAAAGTATTTTTCAAAAATAACAAGTACAATTTGGTGGTCGGTGACTGTAAAAATTTTTTTAATGTTTTGCAATCTCTTTCCTTCATTCTCACTATTATCTGGTTTATCTCCAAAAAATTTATCACAGCATCCCACTGTTCCCAAATCCTTCTTATAGATTCTAAAAGAGACACCATCTCGTACTGCAATATTTCAAAATTTTATGAGATTTTTGCATTCTGTCCCAAAATTTGTTTGAGCAACTTTGAAGCTATGCTTCCGTTTCGAACTTTTCTCCAAGTAAAATATATATCTATTATCAAACATTTCAATTTCTAGCCAATTAATTTTCAGTAGCTTTTTTGCAGCTATATGCAAGAGGTGGCACGGACAACCTCGGGTGATTAACTTGGTTGATGCATTTTGATAAATGATGCTACACCTTTAAACTTTCCAATCATATACTAGCATTATCTGAAGAAAATAAGCCATTTTTTCCATTCTAAAACTTTTGTTTTAAAGTTTTCATTTTATACAATAAAATACCTTCTCCTGTATTATTCGTGCATTCTAAAATAGAAATCAATGAAGTAATTATCACTCCCTTTTCTTTACTGTAGTATGTTATAACCAATGGGTACAGTTGTTATCATTGTTTATCATTACTTCCATCAGTACTTAGAGAATGATTACTGCACACTGATTTTATAATATCAGCAACAGTATTTTCTGCAAGCGTTTTCACAATAGCAGCAGTTTGGTATGACCGCAGCTTTTTTTTGCTATGGCAGAATCCGGAACATTGCTTTGAAAAGCTCTTTGAATGATCCGAAACAGAAAGCGGTAGATTATGTTCAATTAAAAAACGAACAAAATAGCATTCGGCTTTTATAGGATCTGTTTAATCATCTTTTATTAAGAAATTTGTATTTCTTTAGATTTTTTTACGGTGCCAAGTTCTATATGCTTTTTGAGAAAACACATGCGTTTACAGTCATCTTTTCCGCCATGAGCAACTGAGAAGTCTTTGTTTGCATACACTGCAGTGTGCGTGATTCACAGAAATTTCGGACGCTTTAATGCATGGAAATTCTGAAGAATATGAATCTTTAAACTTCTGCTTTTGATAATTTTGGCTTCTTCGTTCGAGGCAGCATTATGATTAAAAATCTTTCACCTGATTCACAGTTCACAAGACACACGCTAAGCTCTCGCCGTAAACTACACAATGCAGCCTAAACACGCATCAGCGAGGAACCTGAGAGACAGACAATTGGGTGGAAACTATTGATAAGTCGTAACGGTTGGAGTTACTGATCTACGATTGGCTAATTCTTCAAAACTAGGAACGCACTCAACACGTGATATATGATAACACGAGTATTCAGCCAATCATCGGATGAATTAGTTGGTTCCGTTTTGCGTACTGGTTCTCCTGCTCTTGTTTCTGTAAAATCCGTAGTTTTTTCCATACTTTTCGTAGCTCGTAGTTTTTCATGAATTTCCGTAGAAACTACGGAGAATCCGTAGTAGTTGGAGTCTATGAATATGTAACGAATTTATTTGTTGAAAACATTTCAAGTGTTGAGTTTAAAAAACCTTGCAGCAGTTAGCACTTTGTAGCTAATTTGTTAACATTCTATTCAATGAGCATTATAGCTAATACTTTTTTACTTAATATTGGATACCTGCTTTAGTGTAAGATTATTAAAAATAATACTTGCATAGTTGTTTTCATACATAAATGCCAGTACAACACTTTATACGCTATTATTTGTTTTGGTCATGAAGCTAATGCAGATTACTTTACAATTTGCTTTTTTATATATGTCACACTAACTAGGAAGTAGATTTGTATTAACAATATGGTATTTTTCATCTAAAAATAGCACATTATTTTCGTTCTGTTAATTTAAATAAAATTTTTTTTAAACTTTCACTTTTATGAATCTGCTAATTAAAAACAACAAAGTGCCTTAAGGTAAGCTTATTGCTAAAAAATATGGCTTCTAAAAACTCAGAAATTTGATACCATAAAAAATTTATATTACTTACAGTTCTAAGCCCTTCGTATGGTTTTTCCACTTTATAATAACTAAAATATTTCAGAGTTGGGTAACCTTTCACATCATGGGCTGAGCACACACTACTGTAAGATGTACAATCAATTGCTGCAAATTCAACCTAATTTAAATAGATGGTTTCCAAAATTTAAAACAGAAAATGACATACCAAAAAAATATTTTTATAACAAATAAAACGCAACACAGAAATAAAATAATTGAAAATAATAATGATTTCAATGATATATACACTGTGTCCATAAAAGTCTTTCTTTACACACCCACTGATCGAAGACTAACATTTCCAATTGCAAAAATGAGTACTTTTCTGTTATGCACCTGCCATCCTTTTTGGCTCCTGTGAAAGAGAAATCAGATGCATGCCAAGAGCCAACATTAGAATCATCTGAGGACTATGTATGTGTAAACAAGAATAATTAAACACACACATGTTATTATAATTGTACCATTAAAATGTGTGGCAGGTGCATAACAGAAAAGTACCCAAAAATGTTTCAGATGATACAAAATATTCACACTATATATACACTTCATAAGCAATTTTAAGTTTTAAAAGTCAGTTTTGTAAAAATTATGAAATCTACTTTTATATGATTTCTTGGTCCACAGCATTGTCGTTTTTAAAATTTTTTGTTCTTTTAAGGGCCTTGTGAGTTATATGCAGTAGTATGTGTAAAACTGAGGTTCTCTACCAAAGGAGTACCAAAGAAGTACAAAGCTCCAAGTTGAAAACATAACATTTAATCAGTGCTTGCCTTGAGTTTAACAAAATAGATGAACATATCATCTATTTTACCAAATACCTCAAATTATACCAAAATCCTCAAAATTATCAAATAATACCAAAATCAAATCAAATAATACCAAAATCTTCAAAATTATATGACACATTAGTAAAATCATACGATGGATAACATACGAATGTACTTGACTGGCACAATATGAGTTGAGTCTGCGTTACAGTTCATCTAGACAAGCAGGTACTTAGCGATGTAGTAAAATTATCCGGAATACTTGGGGCTAGATTCCCATTACAATGTGTCTTCCACTGTGATGTTCCACGTCAGGACTCCATGCATAACACTGCCGAACGATGCTCGAGAAAATCACAGTTACAGGCCATGTCAACAAACACCCCGGATAGGCATATCAGGAAGGACACAGTCTTCAGCAGAACTAAGAGGACACACTGTCGTCACCACACACCCTTTCTCTCTGCTGGGAGGATTCTATTACTGATTATATAGTCCACATTTTCTGCTCAGCGCAGCTGCAAACGGAAGGAATGCGAACTCCAACAAGCATAAAATTTAGTCAAAAATTTATATTCATCTTAAAAAATTAAAACACAAAATTTTGTATTACTAACTGCAATATTTAAATGACTGAAATTAACTGTTCAAGATATTTAATTGCAAAATTCATGATATTTTGCTCTCTTTTTGGGTTTTTCTTAAGGAGGTAAAAGTAAAAAATAATTATGATAATTCAAGATTGATTTTTCCCCCTTTAATACCATTCAGTGACATTTCTTTGTGAGTTACTACAAAGTAGCATTCTTTAATTTATTACTTACATTTGGTATGTGAAAATTATTTTCACAAAATTAGTTTAATTTTTTTTAATGCTAAAAAATACATGAATAAAATTCACATGTAGTTTTATCACTTGAGAAACATGAACTAATAGTCAGTAACACAAAAAATAAAATTATTTCGACTAGAAATATTCTTCACTTTTGATTTATGCAAACAATGTTATGAATTAGCTATGTGCTAGTACTGAATCTTCCCAGCATTTTCTGGAACCAAAATCCTCAAAATTATATGAATCCTCAAAATCCTCAAAATTATATGAATAAGATCTGGTTTTAGGAAAAATTTTTACTGATCCAAATAAGTAACAGTCTGTATAACAATGTTTTCCACTTAATCATAACATTTTTCTAAAATGATATTTCATTGTCAGTAGCATACAGATTTAAATATTTCACTTTCTGTGTAAGAATATGATCTCGAAATTTAATCTCAGTTAATTTTTGTCATATGGGAGTCAAATATTTTGTGTTTTTTTTTAAAAAAATATTAACTTTTACTATGCTAATATTTAGTTTAAAATATTACTAGGACCAGTAGTGCATCTAAAAAAGGAGATTTCATAATTTTTATAATAAAATTTTAAAAAATGTTATAACATGAATATTTTTCTTATTTAAAGCCTTTGGTAGAAAATAAAAGATACATAAATATTTTTATGAACACACTGTACATGTTACATATGTAACATTAAAAATTTCAGCCTATAGAAAATGAAGTACATGAGTTTCATAACAAATTAACAAAATACAAAATTCTCATATCAATTCTTTGTTTTAATGATTAACTTAAAAATGAGATTGTAAGGATTATATTAATTTTATTAACAGTTAAATTTTAAGTTAAAGTTCCTTTCCTGTCAAATTCTTAACTTCAACTTACTACTTCCGGGAAGAACGTAGTTTTAGAATCATGTCTGAATACATAATGAGGAGAAGCGGTATTTAACCGCGAAGTTCTTTGGTCTTAGCAAGAGAAAATCAGAGTTTCTGATTTATGCACATCTGCCTTTTGGCTACTCTCTCTCTCAAAGCTGTTATTACGCTCGGCCATACTCAGGCCCTTGATACTTTCACAGTCATCTGGTATTTAAGGGGCTAACTGCATTAGAAACTTGATAACTTCGGCTATATTTCTTTAGTTAATCTTAGTTTTAGTTTAATTCTTAGTCTCTTAAGTTCGAACCCAAGTGTCGACTTTGACTGTACACTCCAAGGCAGAGTTTTGTTAAATCTTATTGGAATAATAAAGGGTTAGTTACTCTTCTATCTTGTTCTTGTCATGCGAACTTAAGCGATTATTCGCTATCTAGTTCTTAAGATTCTTCACTTTCTACAGTAACTGAGATTTACACAGTGAAAGTCTTACAAGATTAAAATGTTCATTTTCAGGTTTTTAATATATTTCAAATTATTATTTTTAATTACAGCTTCATGCTTCAGAGCCTAGCTCTTTAATTAGCACCTTAAATAGTTCAATGCTGGGAAAAGAACACGCTGATTATTATTAATTCATATCACACATACAATTAATGGTAATTTAAAATAGGTTGTTACCATTTTTTAGAAGATCATTCAAGGTTTTTTAGAGGACTTTGAAAATTATATATACTTTATATAAAACTTTTATACAAAAAATATACCATTATACAAAAATCTTTCTGAATTGAAAGGAATGTAGATAAATATTATTCTGATAGATTCAAGTTGGTTGAAATATTTAACTTGAACAAAGCCTACAACAGCACTTTCTATTTTAGCTTGTAATCTACAAAATGTTCTTTATGAGGAAGATCTCACACTTATATTACATATGAAGAAAGCTAGAGAAAAACAAACGCTGTAGACTTCTACGAGAAAAATACTTGTGAACATGAATACTAAATGAACATGAAGAATAGTAACAAGAATCACACAAAGAATTCACATTTATACTTACATGAAGAAAACTAAAAAAAGAAAACTACATATGTATCTAAACTCTTCTACCAAGAATCAAACCACTGGAAAGTTAGCTATAATATTTAATGGCTTTATCCACATGATCACAGATGGAAAACAAAACACTTGTGCAATAAATGTTTTTAACAAAGCAAAAGAACTGAAAACTGAGTTTTATTCTTAATTTAAATTTCAACATTAATAAGTTTTTAAGTATTTCATTTAATTACTAAAAATGATCAAGTAATAATAATGACCGATTTAATTGTTCTTCATACAGAATTAATATGCCATTGCTATCATAATTACCTTAGGATCATCTTTAAAATAGTCAGCAGCAGCTTGAAACTCTGGTTTTGCTTTTTTACAATGACCACACCCTGTAAAAGAAAATTTCTTATTTATTATATTTTATATACTCCAATATTTTTAATATTTTCAATACAGTAGGGAACAAAACTAGTCAAAAATGTATATCAAATGATCAGCCAAAATCAAACACACCATTCAAAACTTATTAATTTGCATTAGGTAACATATCAAATTTAAAAATTTTACATGAAGACTAAAATTCAAATTAAGTTTACTTCTGTTTCAAACACTGTAAATCCTCAGTTACAGTGCAGTTTACCGAACTACGTTTCCGGCAAGTGTTCTATAAAATTATACATAAATAATGAAATTCCAGCATGAAGCATTTTATAAATAAAACAACATAAATTATTATTAAAGAAATTTTTAGTTGAGAATGATGATGAATCTGTAGAGTCATTATGTTTCTTTGATGCTGGAGACATGAAAAATGCACACTGCCCTCACTGAGACTCAAACCCAGGACATCTCAAATATGCTTCAAGTATGCTTAGAATTACACCAAGAAGGCATGCAAAAAGGAGGAAGGAAATACATTATGTACTTCCCCTTTTAAAGGGTGACAGTGGATTAGGGTATCCAATCACTAAATCCTGGCGATGACAAATCCTGGTGGTCCACCATCTTTTTTAGTTCGGGCGCCACTTATAGAGTCATTGGGTTCTTTTGAAGTAGAAGATGTAAAAAATGGACAGCCAACAGTTCATGGCCACTTTCACTTCTTCATTGTCACTGAAACACATCCCACCCAGATGTTGTTTGAGGTACCAGAAAAGGTGGAAATCACTGGAAGCAAGGTCGGGGCTGTATGGTGCATGGTCCAAAACTTCCCAGCCAAAAGATTCTATTAAGTCCCAAGTCGTTCAAGAAGTGTGAAGCCTTGCATTGTCGTGAAACAGCAAAATTCCTTTTGACAGCATGCCGTGCCGTTTGTTTTGCAATGCTCTTCGGAGCTTCTATAGAGTTGTGCAGTAGGCACCCGAGTTGATCGTTGTTTCTTGTGGCATAAAGTCCACCAGCAAAACATTGCGCCGATCCCTATTGCCATAATCTTGCACTTTGACAGCGTTTGTTTGGCTTTGACCTTGATGGGAGAGGATGTGTGTCTATCGACTATTGCTTGGATTCAGGGGTGATATGGGATACCCATGTTTCATCTCCAGTAATGATTTGACTTAACATGTCATCCCCTTCTTCCTCATAATGAATCAAAAAGTCCAATGAACTGGCAAACGTCTTCTCTTTATGTTCAGCTGTGAGGAGTCTGGGTACCCACCAAGAACACAATTTTTTAAGTTTAGGTTTTCAGTCACAATTTTGTACACCACCGACTGAGAAACATGGGAAATTTCAATGAAAGAGTGGTTAACGTGAATCTCCTGTTCTCACAAATTGTTATTTCAAATGCATGCATCAAATCATCAGTGATTACAGAAGGCCGTCTTAAGTGTTCTTCATGGACATTTGTATGCCCATCTTTAAACTCCCTGACCCATTTTCGGACTTTACTATCACTCATTGCTTCAGTGCCATAAACTTCTGTTATCCAGCAATGAATGTCTGCAGCCAACATGTTTCTCGCAGTCAAAAAACAGATAACAGACCGTATCCCACATGTGGCGGGTGATTCATCACCTTAAACATTTTAAAGACACAAAGCGAAGCTTACACAACTGTTACAGAGCTGAAACTGCCGTGAGTTTGTTCACAAAGGACACTAGTCAGTGGCACAGTGGCTCGTTGCACCACATGCGTGAACTAGGGAACTATACGTGCTAATGGACCTTACTTAAAAACAGCCCTCATATTTTTTACCTCATACTTTTGGCTCAATACTAGATGAAATGGAAAGATGAGGAATAACAGTAAGCAATATTCTTTAATTTCACAATATCTTCCTAAACCCCATTGTGAAGAACATGCCCTGTGCTACTTTTTTCTTTTGTGAATAAGTTTTCTTCAGTTTCCAAAATTTCATTGTATCCAATGATTTTATGTGAGGATGAGATAAGAAGGAAATGGCATATACTTTTCTTTTGTAATTACTCCAATCAATCATTGCATTATAATTCCTTTGAAGCAAACTTTGGTTAGCAAAACTCCATAGATATCAGCTCCTTACACCAAAAGTAAATTAATCAAAAAGTACTAATGAAAGAATTGTATGAATAAAAAAAAAAAAAAACTGTTTGTACTTAAGCCAACAAAACACATCTGCACTATGTTTTTAACATTTTCTTCCCACCATAAGCAAATGCTGCACAGCTATTTCAGCTTATTACATTTTAATCTGATGATGTTGTTTTCAACAACTCCTTTTTTTACCGTTGTTGTTATGAAGAACATCTCTTTTGTTACAAACAAATCTCAAGTCACAAAATTCAATGCAGTTAAAAAAAAATGATTAGATGAAAAATGTGGTTATGCAAGCAATGGTTATCAAAACAGTTATCACCAGGAAAGGAGCCAAACCAAACTGGCAAGACCTGGTGTCAAGAAAGCACGCCAAAACAAAGGAAAAGGCCCAAATGGTATAGCTTTAATGAAAAAGTACCTGCCTAGTAAAATCATACTACAATTAATAATTGTTTTTATTTAATATGCCTTATTTCAAATAACAGTTACAGGAATGATATTTGTAATATATTCCCCTCTGAGACATAAGTATCACAGGAAACATAACAGCTAAGAAGACAGAACAGAAGTTGCATAATAGTAACTTTATTGCTAAGCACTGACAAGAGTTAATATCATTTTAAGCATCATGGTCTGTTATAAAGGAGTCAAAAATATTCAATTTTATTATTCTTTGCATCAAGGACAGGCACAAACAGTACTCAAGAAGAGCCAAAATAATGAATGGCATAATGGAATTTTTGTCAGGACAGTCTTCTTGTAGGTTCTTAGAATTATCTAATTGCCAAGCTGCAATGCCAAGCTTCAGGCTGCCAAGCCGCCTTCTAATGGAAGAAACACAACTTTTTGTTGTTACATCAAATACAAAACTGCCAAATGTTTTACCATGCTAACAAGCTAACAAAGCCTTTTGTTCATTGCAAATGCCCAATAAAAAAAATGAAATTTATAATTAACAAAGAAAATAAATAATAGATTCGAGTGGGGATTATATGGCTATTCTTCAATGACTGGCTATGGTTTATATCAAATTTTACAGAATTCCCATTAAAGTGAACAATTAGCATAATGATTAGAATTTCAACTCTGACAAAAATATCTAAAGGATGGTATAAACATGGTCTTATTTAAAACTCTTCTACAGTTACTTTAAGAACTCTAAGATTAAGAAAAGTATGAAAATAAGCACTTACATGGAGCATAAAACATAACCAAAACATGTTTTTTGCGTCTCAAAAACGGTTTAAAATCTTCTTCATTGAGATGCACTACACTACTTGGTTCTTCACTCCAAGGGATTTCAGGAGGCGGAGGTGGTGGAGGTTCTTTAGGACTTTAATTGCATTAAAAGGAAAAAGGAAACAGGTTCTAATTACAAACTACTTAAAAGTCACTGGAATATGCAACAAAAATGCATATAATATAGTTACCACTTACTCTTTCATAAATTCTACGATTTTGTCAGCTGTTCTTAGGCTTACTTCAAACAATGGATCTCCATTCCTATACAAAATGACGAATTCCAAACAAATTTTGGATTAATTAAGAAAATCTGCAGTATATGATACAAAATAAATTAACCATAAATCAATTACACCAACAAAAAGCAACAGTGAGATTGAAATTATATTTATTTCAGAAAGAGAACACATTAATTCACACATGCTTGAACAAAATGAATCTAATTTTCATTACTGTTTATCCTTCTAAAAAATATTACTAAAAACATACATTATTATTATTACTACTACTACAGTCAAAAGTCTTTAATCCGGATACCCATAATCCGGAATGATCTATAATACGGACCTCAAAGCTACAAACTTTCTGCGCATGCGTCAACGCATAATGCTAAAAATAAGAGTTAACTTCAAGTGCTTTACACAATTGACTAACACTAAGACTGGCCTTTTAAATTATTACGTATGTAGTATGCACACTGCCGAATCTACAATACGTTTTAAATATCAAGAGGACTAAACCTCTGGCCTTAAAGGCAGACAGCAACTGATGGCAAGCTCACGCATGCGCATAATACGTTTATGCATGCGCGTTTAATGTATAACAGACGGTAGAAGCAGAGCTAAAATTATCTAATTATCTATTTCAGTTAATGTTGCAGATTGCATTGTTTCTTAATCTTCGAATTGGATCCAGCTTATTATAGATTGACAATTTTAAAAGTAACTTGAACTTTTGATATGTCAAAATCTGGAGCTGCCAAAGGATCTGCAAAGCAAAAGCATGTTTCGGTGTCCATTAAACAAAAAGTGGAACTGCTGCAAAAAATGGATAAAAGCATGAAGAAAGTGACAGAGAGATGATTTGTTTCTCTAACCAATCTAATCTCTAAATCTGGAAAAACAGATAATCCGGAATCGCGACGAGTCCGGATTAAAGACTTTTGACTGTATTACTACTCTTAGTATTATTATCATTATTATTTTACTTTGTGTCCTTAATTTGATGAAAATTTTAATTTTATCCTAATCTCAGTGATTTTTATATTTGTATTTTCATTTTATATTTGCATCCTCATTCTACAAAAGGTTGTAAGGATCTTAAGTTTTACTAACATTTATTTTATTTTAAAACTTTACTATATTCTCTTATTTTCCACTTCTGGCCAGAATTAAATTCGTTAACTTGTTTATGCAAATTGTACTTGCTAATGCCCAAGTATTTAAGTTGTGGCTTTTTGCCAAGAGTAGAGTTAGATGGAGAGAAAGTGAGCCGCCTTGCCAACTGTATTTCACATGAGCTTGCCATCAGTTGCTGTCTGCCTTTAAGGCCAGAGGTTTAGTCCTCATGATATTTAAAACGTATTGTAGATTCGGCAGTGTGCATGCTACATACGTAATAATTTAAAAGGCCAGTCTTAGTGTTAGTCAATTGTGTAAAGCACTTGAAGTTAACTCTTATTTTTAGTTAGTTAGTAGTTTGTATATTTTTACGTTCAGACCACAAGTGGTTGGTCTTTGTATCTCGAAGTGCGGGAGCACCTGTAATATCGCGGACTATAAAGGGTAAAGTTAACCCTTCCTGTCTGTGTCGTCCATTCCACACATATTTGAACATAGCTTGAGTAAGCTCCCAGTTCCTATTCAGGACACAAAATATTCCCGAAACAAATTAAAAGACATACAAGTCCTGACAAGGTAAGTATACAGAAATGACATAGTACACAAAAATAAGTTTTTGACCACTAAAAAAAATATTATTGCTACAGATTGTCATGGCAACAACAGTTATTACCATAATATAATTTTCACATAACTTATACTCAGTTTCACCTTACTAATAATTGCAGCATATGTTACAATCCAAACAGATCATTTCAATCAAAAATAAATTTGTAAATTTACAAGATATTAATATAAAGCAAAATATGTAAGAAAAATGTGGCAAATGTACACTTAAGTGAATATTCAACTTCATTCATCACTACTTGCTTTAGAAAAGATTCCTTCTCCCTCTTGATCTGTGAAATCAAACCTCTTAATGGTCTTTATAGCAGTACTTTTAAAATAGCCAGTATCTACTGATACATCATCATCAACAATATGTTGCTGTCTTTAAGGAATGAGACATATTTTTGATATCAGCAGATCAATAATATAGGTGGTTTTATTTTATTTCACGCAGGTATTACATGACAATTGGATTAAAAATCACATTAGACTGTTTTTATCTGAAATTAGTCACTATTTCCAAATGAACTCTGCTAACTAAGAAGGCAAGTGACTTATCCTGAATCGATTCCTGATTATTTTCCTAATGCTCTTTTGTGCTGTTGATATTGACTGTTGCTGACATTATATACCCAGCATACATCTTCCATCGCTACAGTTTTCTTGCATAAGAATTTTTTTGGAAAAATTCCATATAAGTCTGGAAATAATGGATTACTTATGCTTCATTTCTTGGTAAATCTAGTAAATGCACAATGCAAAATGCAGTAAAAATCAATACAAAATTAATAAATATTACTTCAAAAACTTTCCATGGGAAACGGGTTACAAAAAAAAAAAAAAAAAAAAAGACTTATTGCAGATAGATATGTACTTGGATCTCATGTTGATACTGAAATTTTATATATACAAAATGCTATCCCTAAAAATAGAAAAAGAAAAAAATGGGGAAAAAACATTAAAAGGTAGGGGCATTTCAACTTTCTAGAAAAATCTGGGGTTTCTATAAGCTAGGTTTCCAATAAGGCTCTAGAGTTGCTGGTATCAAGAGCCAATGGTGGTATTTTCGCTACCAGCTAATGCACAAAAACCAGTAATTGTTTTCAGTTTGTAAATAAATCATGTAAGGAATAAGTTAAAATTGTAGCTAAATAATAATGCATAAGATGATACACTGAAGTACCACTGAATTAAAGATACCTAAATGATTCACTGTTCCTTTGGTCTTGATAACTTGCTGTATGATGAGATAAGGATTCTATCTCATCATACAGCAAGCTGGATCTTACAGCAGGGTTCTAGAAGTACGGCCTACCAGACATCTAGAATTTTTCATAAATAAGCTAAGGATGCCAGTGTTGAATGATATGCATGCACATCTTTTTCCAGAGTACTCCAAAGGTGTTCAACAGGATTCAAGTTCAGACTTCTTGGTGGTCAAACTCAGCAGGGAAAATTCAGTGGAATGCTCCTCAAACCAGATCGTAGACATCTGAGATCTGTATCAGAAGCAGATGTCCTGATGGTGTACAGCATTTTTCTCCAGATGGTAAAAAAGCATGAAGTGAATTAAATTAATATCCAACAGTTCTATATACTCAAAAAGGAAGACACTTGGCTCAAGTGTCAAAAGAGCCAAAACCTGCCAAGGAAAAACATTCCAGATCAACTACTGAGTCTCACTGATCTTGTACATTTCTAACCTGGCAAGTTGGATTTACGGCTTCATGGAATTGGCAACATATTCTTAGCTAACCATCAGTATGATGTTGTTGGATTCAAGACTCATCAACTCCGTGTTATTCACTTCCAGTCACCCAAAGATCCAGTCATGGTAATCTGTAACTCATGCAAGACATTAAGTGCAGTGACACTGAGAGTGACACTTTCATGGGTCTTTGGCTTCAGAAGTCCATATGGTGGAGCAACTGCTAAGGTTTAACTACTGAATGCCTCATTGGACTCCTTCTTCAGCTGGATGGTAACCTGAGCTAAGGTTTGGTATTTTTGGCTAAGTACAACAGAGTGATATTCAAAACATTGCAGTCATTTAAGGCTGCTTGTTCCTTACAGTTTGTCTGATTACTCTTTATGTTACTTTTCCAGCTATCTGAGTACTCTCACCATACTCTTGACACTGTTAAACAAGTAAACCTCAGTTCTTGAAATAGTTCTGAAATTGTATGACCCATGTGCTGAATGTTTATATTTCTATTCAATTGAAGATGTCAAAATCATGCTATATTATGTTACTTCTAACAGTTGTTTAAAAAAGGCTACACTTCTGGCTACATGCAATGGCGGACCCATAGCTGTTGAGGCCTGGAGCAAATATTTCCCGAGGTCCCCCTTATTGGAACGATCACCATACAACACAAATATATAATTAACATTTCTTTAATTAAAATTAAATAACTAAGATGGTTTGGAAAACAAAAAAAAAATCTTAAGACTAAAGAAAAAACAATTTACATCTAGTAGATAAACTTATATTAAAAAAATTATAAAGCTGATTAATCTGCCACTTCTGATGTTTTAAAAAGCTTATTACATTTTAAAAAGCTTATTACTGGTTCATCATTGATCAAAGTTAGCTTTTAATCAGCTTACTTTAATTGTAAGTAATTGAAACACACAATGTCAAAAAAGTTTTTAGTGCCAAATTTAAGTTAGAAAGTGATTCTTAGAAGTCCATTTCTGCAATAAGCCTCCACATCAAAAGTAAACAGTTTCCCAGATATTCAAGTTTTAAAAATCGCAATATTACAGCTTTCACAGCCTGTACATGGAAGACTAATTACTTAGGATGAATAAAATAGTATGTTATAAGACATTGTTTCCTAGCTATACTCAACTTTGGATTTCCCAAAAAAACTCACAACCTTATTTTTCAAGTTTTCATTCTACCATAATTTGAAGTCAATAAAAATGCAAGCTCAAAGTTGAGACAGCCTATATAAGCTGCAGTCCTTTTTATATTCATCAGAGTTATCACCAGAGTATTAGAGTCACCAAAATGTAAAACTAACAGACTTTGGTTTGTTGTGTTACAATAAAAAACTCTTGAGTAACATTTGTAATTAACAAACTAAATAATAAAAATTTTATTGACATCAAAGAATTGGATAACTCTTTATTTTAAAAGCAATTACTTCCATTTTTACAGCTGTCTACATAATATAGCTCTTTCTGAAATAGTAACCAGAAAGTTTTGTGATGGCCACAAATATTTTATAATTTAATTCGCTTGTGACAAAATGTTTCGTCATTGTTTTCACCTTGCGCGCGCCGTTTACAACATTCTGATTGCATAATTAATTCCATATTTAATATATAGCTTTTAAAACATTTGAAAACTACTGTGATCAAAGCTTCTAAGAATTTCATGTTAAATTTTTTATTTATTTGGAGTCGAGTTTATAATGCTTTAATTAAAAATCTGTAATATTTCGTGCATAAAATGTTTTATATTAAAATATTCACAATTTTGGTTCAGTTAAAAATAAATATAAATATAAAGGAATTTCCTCAATTTCAAGAATGTCCATTAGCCTTTTAAAATATCATGCACGCA